TCTTTGAGAGCTGAATCATACAAATGGCTGTATTTACAAACCTCTGCCATACTAGTTCTTGCCGGTCCGCCATGTTTTTCCGTGTCCGACCGTCCGCGTGGTTAGAAAATTTCCTAGGTGCGCGGTGCGGAAATTTTGGGCCGTGCAGAGGCACGGTGGAAGGGCTTGGTTGTTAAAATGATGCAATTTCGCCGTGCGGACCTCGCGGACGCGTCAAGCATAAACCAACCTTAACAAGCTTTTGCTGAACTGCAGTCAGCTGAATGGGGCGTGTTAAGGCAGGGAGAATACAAAAACATGCAGGGCAGTGCGCCTTGAGGACCAGGGTTGAAAAACACTGCTTTAGACTGACAAAGACAAGATCACAAAAGTGACTTGATTTGATGATGTCATCATGCAAAAATAAAACTCGTAATATCTCAGAAACCGTTGCAGCACAAACGTATATTTTACCTGCACAAATCAGCACAAACAAAGCACTAAAAAAGTAGACTATTATGGTCCAGTTTGGAGCAGTCCGGGGGGACGGTTAGGGTTAGGGTTAGAACCTAGGGTTAGGGTTAGAGTTAGAATTCTGAATGACCTATAAAATAAAGTTTAATATCTCAGAAACCATAGCAGCACAAACATCAATTTTACCTGCACAAATCAGCACAAAAGAAGCACTAAAAAGGTAGACTATTATGGTCCATTTTGGAGCAGTTTGGAGCAGTCCGGGGGGACGGTGAACTCTGAATGACCAATAAAATAAAGTTTAATATCTCAGAAACCATAGCAGCACAAATGTCAGTTTCACCTGCACAAATCAGCACAAACGAAGCACTAACCGAGCAGCCTATTTGCCTGCACTTTTGAAGCGGATGGGGGTCAGCTTCACAGAGCTCCCGAAGCTGGATTTTGGACGCAATGCAGGCCCAGGCACTGTACACATGCCCACTGTCAGAAAGCGCCCAAGATTGGAGCCGCTTGTGTCACATGAACAAATGGATTCGGGACATCATTTACAACGGCCACAAGCTGCAGTTTCAGCCCCGCCCACCTCCATTCTCGGGGATTGAGGAGACAAAACTGAGGCCAGCCCCTCAAGCCTCCGCCCTCGAGGCGGAGTTGAGGGAACTCCTGTCACAGGAGGCTATCTCCAGGGTTCCTCCAGGAGAGAAGAAATCGGGATTCTGCTCCCGTTATTTCTCATTAAATCCAAAACTTCATCAGTAAAGTGTCATCCTTCATTCAGGGGGGAATGCTACATCCATGTTCCAATAATTCCGAAGCACAGGAAATTCCTGAGCTTGTCATTCAATGGGATTCAGTACCAGTACAACAGGCTCCCGTTCGGATACTCTCTGGCCCCATGCACCTTCTCCAAATGCCTGGCTGCGGCGCTCCAGCCGTTACACACGGAGGGCTCAAGAATCCTGTTTTATCTAGACGACCTGCTCCTCTTGGCCCATTCCCAGATGGAGGCGGAGGCACAGACGAGGGAGCTAGCACTACATTTAATCACACTGGGCTTCTCTATAAACTGGGAGAAGAGTTCTTTGATCCTGTCCCAGTCCATCATCTTCTTGGGCGTGGAACTGAGCTCCAGCTCCATGAGAGCACATCTTTCCCGGGAAAGAACAGCGGATCTGCTCGCCATGACCAGCCATGTGCAACCACAGTGCACAGTGACAGCTCTGTCTGTGATGAGGCTTCTGGGCATGGTGGCTGCGGCCCACGTTGTGGTTCCGCTCGGCTTGCTACACATGAGGCGCATTCAATGTTGGTTCAGCCGCCTCAAGGTGGATCCCATATGCCACAAGCGGCGCATGAAACTCATTCCCACCTCAGTGAAGGGAGACCTCCAACACTGGACAAATCCCGAGACCTTGCTGCATGGGGTTCCTCTCAGGAAAGTGACGTCACACGTGTCTGTGTTCACGGATGCATCCCTGTTGGGGTGGGGGGGCACGTGCTTATCCCATTCTGTGGGCAATCGGTGACCCCCCACACGGATGCCCACATCAACGTTCTGGAACTCATGTCAGTGCATAATGTGATATTACATTTTGCCCCCCTACTCTGGGGCCAACATGTACTGATTCACACAGACAACCAAGTCGCCGCAGCTTACATAAATCGACAGGGCGGGACTCGCTCAGCGTCACTCCTGAACGTGGCCAGGAAGTTGCTATGCTAGGTTCATGTCAACCTCCTGTCAATCAGGGCTGTCTACATTCCGGGGATCCTGAACGTGGGTGCGGATATCATGTCCAGAGGGGGTCCACGTCACTCACAATGGTGTCTCCATCCCGATGTGATCTCCCAGATCTGGACCAGGTTCGCACAGGCGGTCATTGACCTGTTTGCGTCTCACGAGAACGCACATTGCCCCCTGTGGATTTCTCTCAGACCGCAATATCATCCTCCTCTGGGGTTGGACGCCTTCGCTCACAAACCCTGGCCCAGACTTTTGCTTTACGCATTTCCTCCAATCCCTCTGATCCCCCAGCTCCTGGACCGGATCAGGTCAGAAAGGCTGTCAGTGATTTTGGTGGCTCCACATCGCAGCTCAGCATCCTGGTTTCCAGATTTGCAGCCACTGTTGGCTGGGCGCCCCTGGAAGCTTCACTGGAAGGAAGGCACACTCCTGCAGGCGGGAGGGGACATAACACACCCCCCTGTTCTGGGTCAGCACCTGTGGGTTTGGCCGCTGAACGGTCTCATCTAGAAGCATCAGGCCTGACTTCTGATGTGGTTCAAACCATTCAGTCTTCTCGCGCCCCCTCCACTGTAGCATCTTACTCTGCTAAGTGGGCTGCCTTCCAGCGTTGGTGCCAGGAACAGCATGTGGACCCGCTATCATGCCCTTTGGCCAGCATGTTGTCATTTTTACAAGTGCTGATGAACAAGGGTCTGGCTTTCAGCACTGTTTAGTCATATGCGGCTGCTGTTTCTTCATGTCATCAAGGGTTCTGGAATAGATGTTTTCAGCCACCCCCTTACCAAACATTTTCTGAAAGGCGTGAGACACCTCAGACCTGTGCAGCGTTCACTAGTCCCTCAGTGGGACCTGGTGGTGGTCTTGCGCGGACTGGCGTCGGTCTCATTTGAACTGCTGGATCATGTCTCGCTGAAATTTTTATCTCTTAAAACTTTTGCTGGCTCTGACTTCATTTAAGAGAGTGAGCGACCTGGCTGCTCTGTCTGTCGCCCCAGCCTGCCTCAGGATTCGGGATGATGGAGGTTCGGCTGTTTTGTGCCCCAACCCAGCGTTCACTCCTAAGAGCCTTACCAGTTCCTTCAGATCAAGATCCATTACACTGGATGGGTTCTTCACCCCTCCTCACAGTTCGGAGAAGGAGGCGGCATCTCATCTGCTGTGCCCATTGCGCGTTCTCAGACGCTATGTCTCCCGCACCGCTGCTTTTCGCCGCTCGAATCACCTGTTTGTGCATTATAGGGATAACTCCCTTGGTCAGTCCCTGTCTTCACAGGACCTGTCTCACTGGTTGTGTGATGCCATCTCGCTCACATATGTCTCTTCAGGGTTGGAACCACCAGAAAGGTTGAAGGCTCACTCGACAAGAAGTGTATCTTCTTCGGTGGCACTCCAGGGAGGAATATTTGTCTCTGACATTTGTTTTTAGCAGCTTCATGGGCTTCACCCTGCTCCTTTGTGAGGTTCTACCTGAAAGACATGTCCATCACCTCTGCTTCCAGCGCAGTGCTTGGTAATGTAACAAACGGAGAACACATGCCTCGGTAGAACATGAACATAAGAACCGATTGGAACACATCTTGGCAGCTCCTGATGACGTATCTCCTAGGCAACCGGGGCGGGGCCAAGACATCAAGGCAAGGTTCCTTGACATTGAGAAACACCCTAGAACTGTCTGAATTCAGAGCCGCTGACTTCCGGTTTTGGAGGTCTATTAAGGACCCGGCAAGGAGGACCCGTACTCACAAGCATCCTGCCCGTGGATTCGGACACAGAGATGGTGTCTAATATGGCATCCCCAGAAGACGCTAGACCCGCGCTCTATGTACGTTAGACACAAAGTTTTATGGGTATATGTTACGAAGCCACCAATATTTTTCAACCACTGGACATCATTTTATTCATTTTCAATGTTTTAATGGATATTTCCAGAAATTAAAAGTAAGAACTACACATTGTCTCATTAAGGACAAAATTAACTAGAACACATTTTGAGACTGAAAGTGAACCAATGTCTTTTCCAGAAGCCAGCAATTTAGATTATGTGAGTTTTTTTGAGGAAAGGAATGTGAACAGAAGCATAACATTAAATACCACAAACATAAATACAACAAAAAACAGATATTTAGTTGTCTATTGGAGTCATCACTTTTACTGCTGCAGTCTGTTGATTAAATTATGTAATTAACTGTGTAACTATAAACCTGAGCATCACTACAGCATTGGCCTTGTCTTTGTTGTCTTGCTGTTGAGTTTTTGTTTCAAATTAAATGTAATTTATTATTTATTTATCCTCAGAGGTGCTGGCCCAAGCAGCTGAGGAAGTCTGGGCCTTGAAGGCTGCCCCCTGCGACCCGATCCTGGATAAGCAGAAGATGATGGATGTAATTGATTTATGTGGTTGAAACTTTTACATCACTAGAGGTTTATACTCCTGTCGTTCAAACATTTTATCATGATTTTGCCGATCCGATCCAGACTGCAGAGCTCCTCGGCTGAGATTTTATTCGTGTCCATGTGGGTCTTCAGCCGGGGTACAGAGGACGTGCAAACGCTGGAATATAAGAGGATATGCCAGAAAGATGTAAGAGTTGAGGCAAACAAAACTTTTTCCTGTTAACTTAAAAAGAAAACTCATGTTTTAAAACACAAATATGTAAAACTGTTCCTGGGAGAGCTGAAAAATATCATCTGATTTTCTATTGTGTGTCCGAATGTGGTGTTGGTAGAATTATTGTTAACAATTATGACTTATTTTGTGTTTTTGTTGTCTTCCCTTTGATGTTGTGCAGAAGTTACTTCATTGGGCTCCAACCTGTCTGAAAGTTCCTGGGGTCTTAAACATCTGTCCAGCTGCCCAGAGCGGGACCATCAGAACAGAGGACAGAGTCATGGTCAGCCCCAGAGCGTACGCCCAGTCAGGGTAAACGTACACGTTGTTCACCTTCAGGTGTTGGTAATCAACCAGGTACAAGATGATGGACATCTGCCAAGTTACATATTGATTTAGGATTTTAAAATGTGGAGATAAAGATTCATATAAAGCATTTCAAGTGAAAAAGTCTTTATTTAAAACAAAAATAAAAACATTTTATGTCATCCCAGACAGGGAAAAGATTTCTGTCATCACACTATAGGGTTAAATATGTAAAAATCTAAATGAGGAAACTGACAAAAACAGCTAAACCAGTTAAAGCTAATTAATTCAAATTTTCTCAACGATCTGCTTAAAGCTATGAGCCCACGTGCAATTCCCTGGGATGTTCAAACCCTTAGACTCACCAGAGACAGCAGAGGAATTACGTATTTCCAACAATGTTTGAAGAAAACTGAAGGTCTGGACCCTGTCATGTCCTCAATAACGTTAACGAAGCGGTCAGCACCTGATCAAATTCATAGTTTACAAAACCGACAACATTTGACTTACAAAAAGTAAAAAAAGATTTGAAACAAACAGCAGCTTGGGAAGCTTTTAAGTTTGTACTCACCAAATACCCAACACACAACCACGCATTCAGATATTGCCATAAAATTTGGGCAGACTCTGGTGGAACCGTAAAAATCAATCAGCTGGAAGATGTAAATTCCTCCCTAATGTCAGGGGGCATCAGATTTAGGAGAATATTTCAGTTTTTTATGGATTCAGTGAGGATCCATGAGCTCACCTGAGTAACCAAACTCAGATGTAAGCAGAAATTGGACAAACAGACCAAGAGGACCAAGATCTGTCGCTTCACTGGAACACGAAACAGCTTTGGAAACATGTCAGTCACTGTGGTGATGAAACTCTCCACAAACACAAACTGGGGACAAACATTAATCAAAAGTGAGCTCCATGTGTCCCAGTAATACCAGATAATTGTTAACTTGTTATTGCAACAAAAACTGACACCTACATGTGTGTCGACAGTGAGAAGAACCAGCATCAGGAAGAAGCAGACGCTCCAGAACTGTGGTAAAGGCATCAAGGCTGTAGCCTGAGGGTAAGCGATAAAGGCCAAACCTGGACCTGAAAGTCAAGAAGAAAGATCATCAGCTTCTTTCATGGCTCCTCAAATAATTTCAATAGGTGTCCTACATGTAAATACCTGAATCAACCACAACGTCCACAGTAACTCCTTGTTTCTGAGCCATGAATCCCAGTACAGAGAAAACCACAAACCCAGCAATGAAACTGGTTCCACTGTTCAGCAGACAGAGCCAGAAGCAGTCCCTGAAGGTCAAAACAGAACTTTATATAAGCACAGGTATCAACAGAGGTCAACTTACCACAAAATAGTACAACCTACTTGTAACAGTTGTTGTTGTATCTGTTGTAGCTGCTCAGAACATTTAGGGTTCCTGTGGTTAGACAGTAGGAAAAAAGTACCTGGGATCCTGCTTCTATCCACACCTAAAGTAGACCAAATACACATTTTAATAGAATCATATTGTAGAATGACTGGTTGTTACATGTTGGGGCATAGAAATAAAGCATTAGTAATTCAATTACATTTTAAGAAGCTGCTTATCTGATTGAGTTTTTTTCCATTGAAACATAGCAGGGATACTTTGCTTGGTTAAAGTAGTTTTCAAATGATGGTTTCATTTTATTTTTTTATGTTTTTGATGCTTTAAAGAAAGGAAAATGTGATCCAAACCATCGTGGCACTGTCTGAAAAAGTACCCACAATAACTTGGTTTTTCAGCCTTTAGGACATGCAGATCTCTCAGAAAAAACGTTTTCATTCTCTGCCACTCCTGTTGCTGCTGTGTACATGACAGTGTGCGCATCAGAAGCAAGCAACGTACCTTGAGGTTGGCCAGGTGAGTTATATCAGGATACAAGTAATAGTAAATACCATCCCACGCTCCAGGTAGAGTCAAACCTCTGATCAGTAGTATGAGGAGCATCAAATAAGGGAAGGTGGCTGTAAAATATGCTACCTATAAAATATAAACTTGAGGTTAGTGGATTTAAAAAATAAACAAATGTTCATTCATTCTTTTACCTTTCCAGAAGATCGGATTCCTTTAGAAATACTAAAAAAACAGAACATCCAGCTGGCCAGGAGACACAAGGCCAGCTCCCAGCTCAAGCTGCCCAGCTCTTCGATGCCTGATGACATTTGTAGTACTCTCTGTCTTAAGAAAAACAATAAATCTCAGGTTAAACATGCTATCATTTATTCTGTGTATGGAAAATGTTTAGGTACATGGATAGGAAATAAAATCTGGATAAACTGGACCTAACTGACCGTCAGCTAGTTAAACCCTACAGATATCTGAACTACAAAGCCTAAATGTCATAATGCCCGATCAGGGGGAAGTAATTTGGACTCACTCCCAGAACTCAGTCGCTGCAGAGGTGGTGTTGGTAAGATTTGCCGTTATGTTTGGTGAAATGAAAAACTGAAGTTCGAGACAATTTTCTTGATGTTGTTGAAGAGAAAAACAAGAAACTTTTATCAGTATTGTCAGGAAATAATATTCTACTGTTTTAGTTTGGAGTAAATTTATGTCCTACCTGTGTTCCAGGTGTTGTCACAGCTGGTCCAGGGGAGATGGGCACTGAAGGAGAACACCAGGTAGAACATAGCCCAGACTTGGACCAGAACATAGCAGAAGTCATAAAGTTTCATCACGAAAAATCCATATCCGATTCCTGAAATGAAGATGGAAGAAATCCCTTTTGCTGACCTTTTCTATGTGAACTTTTAATGTTGTTGTTCAGAAATGCATAATCTCACCTTGTGCCAGTGGGCAGATCTTCCTCCAGCAGGTAATGAATCCTCCCTGAGTATACTGACCCATTGAAGTCTCCAAAAGGAACAGAGGTATCCCAAACACCACCGCAAACACAGTGTATGGGACCAAAAAGGCACCTATGGATAGTAAAAGGCAAAAAAAAAACACCTTTTACATTTTTATAAAATAAACTTGGCATTTATCCAACACAGTGCATCTAAAACTGCTTTTTACCTCCACCATTCTTGTAGCAGAGATAAGGAAACCTCCAGACATTTCCCAGGCCCACCACATTCCCTGCAACAACCAAAGCATATTCTATTTTACTGGCCCAATGTCCCCTGTCTCTGTCCCTCGTCGGGTCCCGCGTCTTTCTTCCCTCTCTGCTCATCTCACGTCCTCTTTCGTCTTTCATCTGATCTATATGAGTGACAACAAATGCAGCATTTAAAGTGTTTTATCCCATTTGATTGTATTTGAATACATCAAACGGCACTTTGGTCCATTCTGGTCTTCGTAATAATCAAAAGAGATAGGAAGGTAAGAGCAGGTAGAACCCAGGGAAAGCATCACCAGTTTTTACAAAACCAAGACAAAAATGTGTTTCTGTTTATTAACTTAAATCTGTATGTACACAAATGTATGAGGAGTGGTCTTCATAGCTTCACACAACTAAAGATTTAAAATAACAATTTTGTTCGGGAGTTGTTCAGTTAACTGTGGAAAGATTTTCAGGAAAATGTGCATTTACAAAGTACAGTTCTTATTCCATACCTGCACACAAAATAAAGCCTGGCACTTTATATTTAAAAAAAATTATCTGAAAATTTCTCTTTAGTAGGGATTAATGGATAATTAATTTAATCTCTGGAATGTGGCTTAGGCCGTGTCCCTGTTGTCTATCTGTCCAGTACAGAAACTGTGCCAGAGTGTTTGTTGTTTACACAATCAGACTAAATACATCAACACCCACGGTTTTCACATCTTCTTCATGTAAGATCAGATTTGTGACGCACACAGGTGTTGACACATTTACATGTACTGACCCATTAGAAATGAACTGTGTCGCCAGATGGGGAGGACCAATCTAAGGATTAAAATTAATGCATGAGGAGAATCTGGGCCCTTTTTGACTGATGACCATGGGGGTGTCTTTAGGGGGTCAAGGTGTTTCTGTGCTTTTTCTGTATAGACCAATTTAAACACACCTACTGAATAATGGTCATTTTGGGAGTGTGTCAGGAACAGAGTATCATTGGTATTCCTCTCCTGGAAATAAAGAACCAGGAAATTGAGGTCTGCTAGATGGAGAGGATCCAGACAAGAAATTTGCTTTCTACAGACAGTTACAATAACAGAAAATATCACAAATAGTGTGCCTCCATTTTGAACATTTAAAAAAGTCACAGTCTGAACCGGTAAACGATTTTTGCTACTGACAGTGCCACCATGTAGGGACAATCAAAACTACTCATGTTGGCATCGTCAAGAAGAATTTATCAAGTGATTAAAACCCTAATGACACACTTGTTGGAAGGGTGGGTCAATGACTCGCCTGACTTTAAAGCCATACTATGTAACTTTTTCATATTTTTAAATAATTTCTTGAGCCAGTATGTGCTAAAATTACCGTTTACAGGGTTAATGAAATGTCAGTCAGACTTCTACCTGCTAGGTCCCACTTTAACCTTACTCATGTGGAACTGACATGCCAGTGCTGCAGTCTTCCTCCAGCACTTTTCCTGCATGTTTTAGATAGTGAACACAACTGATTTGTTTGATTTAGTGATGAATCACACCTGTAGAAGCTAATGAAGGCTGAGGAGACATTTCAGCTGTTAGATTAAGATGTTAAAAAGACGAATACACAGCGAGAAGATTAGTTTCAGTTTTGCTTTTACAACAATGAATTAATAACAGACTCTAAGGGGTGCTAAAAGCAAGCCAAAACTGCACAGTTTCCCTTTCAAAACATGTTTAGCAGGTTTGGCTTGCTTTTAGCACCCCCTAGTGTCTACATTTAGTAGAACCAAAAGAAATACGTATATCCTGATTGTGCATTTGTCTTTTTAACACCTTAATCTAACAGATGAAATGTCTCCTCAGCCTTCAACAGTGTCTGCAGGAGTGATTCATCACTAAATTAAACAAATCAGCTGTTCATGATATGAAACTTCCTAGAATCATGCTGGAAGCAGACTCCAGTACCAGATATGTCAGCAACATTTTTTTCTAAATCCAACAGATCGGACCAGCACCTTGAAGTTGCAAATGCAGTATTCTGGCCACAGAGGGCGGTGGGGGTCTGAGTGACTTTTCATTAACCCTGTAAAGACAGACTTTGTGACTCGGCGGAGATCTCTGGAACTGTTCTAGACTGGTTTAGATTGTACCTTTCTAACAGAAGTTACAGTGTCTGTATAAACCAAATCATGTCAGATTCTACCAGTTTGTTTTGTGGAGTACCCCAAAGCTCTGTTTTGGGACCACTCTTGTTTCTGCTGTACATACACTCTTGGACAGATAATTGACTCTTTTCATAATGTCTCTTGTCACCCATGTGCAGATGGCATTCAGCTGTACTGCTCTTTTAAGGATTCTGAGTTATATAAACTGTCTGAACTGCTAGAGTGTCTATCAGCTATCACCAGCTGGCTAGAAGATAACTTCCTTCAGTTAAACTCTGACAAGACTGAATGTCTGATCACTGCCCTCGAGAGCATGGTTGCCCTGATTAGTCAAAAACTTGGTCATTTATTCCCTGCTGTCAAGTCAAACTTGAGGAATTTGGGTGTTGTTTTTGACCAATCAATGTCTCTTGAAAGCCACTGAAAAACACTGGTCCGACACTGTTTTTTTATCACCAAAATGCGAAGGTTGGTGTCAAAACATGAACTTGAAATGGTTATCCATGCCTTTATCTCCTCCCAGCTAGATTACTGTAACACACTTTTCAAATGTTTTAACAAAAAAGCCCTTGACCGCCTTCAGTTGGTCCGAATCTCTGCAGCGAGGCTCCTAACTGGAGCAAACAGAAGAGCACACATCACTCCTATTCTAATCTCTCTCCACCGGTTACCCGTTAACTTTAGAGTTCATTTTAGAATTCTGACTAGAACTTTCAGGGCTCTTCCTGGTCAAGCTCCTCCCTATATTACTGAACTGTTAAAGCCTTATGCTCCAACCCGAGCCCTCAGGTCTACACACCAGAACCTTCTAGAAGTTCCAAAGACCAGATAAAAAAGTCGAGGTGAACGCTCCTTCCACACTGTTGCAACCCGACTTTGGAATGATCATCCTTTATCCTAGCGTAGCATTGACAGTCTCGACACCTTTAAAAAAACAGCTACAGACCCTTTTATTTAAAGCTGCTTTCACATAAATCTTTTGTTTTCATATTTTTAACTCAAATTTGTAATCATCTTTCGTTTTGTGATATTTTATAATTTCATGACTTTATTTTTTCTGATGTTAATCTATTTCTGTTTTGAGATTATTATGATTTTATGACTTTATGTTTTCTTTTGTTTTGATCTATGTGAAGCACTTTGTGATTCTATGTCTGTGATGAGTGCTATATATAAAAAAATTACTTACTACTTACTAAAGAGTAATTTTAGCACATACTGGCTCAAGAAAAGGGTTTAAAAATAGGGAAAAGTTGCATAGTATGGCTTTAAATAGTCTGTATTATTTCACAATGAGATAAGGCCTGATATCTGAAATCCAGAGGCAGGATAAGTGGGGCACAACAATACTGACAACAACGCAACAGCATAAATAATGATAGTTAATGATTACATTTGTGAAATACAAGTTTCTTGTAGTAGGCACAGAGTATTAGTTAGAGAATTGGTGTGAAAAATCTCTTTACCTGCCAACAGTTTCGGCTTCTCACTGAAACCCTCTTCGTGGACCGTCCTCCGGTGGACCGGAGACGTGGCTTATATCTAATATTCCTGGAGTGCGTCATGTGGGAGTGGTGAATGGAGATGTCATGTCCATGGTCACTGCCACATGTGCTGCATGAATTTGCTTTTCTAAATCAGGGGACTCCAAAGTGCTTTACCGTAAAAATCATTCACACGAAGATGTTGATGAGCTACATTGTAGCTACAGCTGCCCTGAAGCAGACTGACATGAGAGAAACTACCATACATTCTGCCCCACTGGGCTCTCCGACCACCACCAGCAGGCAAGGCGGGTTAGGTGTCTTGCCCAAGGAATCGGGGCCAGAATCGATCCAGCAGCCCTTTGATTGCTGGACAACCCGCTCTACCTCCTGAGCAACTGCTGCCCCAGTCGCAGAGACTTAATAAAATGTTCAGGTAATTTATGTGGGTTCTTTCAGTTTTGAGAATAAGATTCAGTGAACTTCCATGAGCTCACCTGAGTAACCAAACTCTGATGTTTGCAGAATGAATGGACCGATAATAATCCTTCCACAATTATCCCTCCCACTCTTCATGGGTGACCCCGCCAGGAAAGTTGATCATTGAGCAGGATTGATGGTTTATCCCTTGAGGTCCACGTGGCAGGGGTGAGGTGGTGCTCACTCCTCACTCCTGCCACGTGGACCTCAAGGGATAAACCATCAACCCTGCTCAATGGTCAACTTTCTTGGCGGGGTCACCCATGAAGACAGTGGGAGTGTTATAAACTTTAAAAAACAGTTTAGTCTGTCCTTTACCTCCCTGAGCACTTTTGACTCTGTTGATGATCCTTCAGCTGAACACGACAATGACAATTACTAAAACACTCAAATAAAATAAAAAATGTAAATGATAACAATCACAGGTAACGGTTAGTCCTGTACTGAGTCGCACCAACATTTTGATGGCCCGACTGTAAATTTGGTTAGACTTCATAAGCAACTATCATTTGGTTTTTTCACCTGTTGTCAAACAGAACTGTTATATGTGGTCAGCACACACTAACCCTGTCATTTCAGCTGAGATATTACTGAGAAATCCCTCCAAACACAGAGAGACAGAGACATTCTTTAATGGAACACCAAGTTAACTGAATTCAGGAAGAAAAAAAGGTGCAAAGTTCAGCTTGAATTATTCAAAGACGCTCAAAATTAAAAAAAAAAGTGTTAAAACTACATTTGCTGTTGCTCAGAAAAATCAGATGAAGGAAGAAAAACGACATGAGATGGGCAGAGAGAGAAGGATGTCACAGGACCCATCGAGGGATGAAGACAGAGGACATTGGGCCAATAAAATAGAATATCTTTTGGTTGTTGCAGGAAATGTGGTGGGACTGGGAAATGTCTGGAGGTTTCCTTATCTCTGCTACAAGAACGGTGGAGGTAAAAAGCTGCTTTTAGATGCATCATTCTCTCACCATATATTGCATTGGTGAAAAGCCATGTTTCATCAACAAGTATTTAGCTTGTTCAAAATGCTGCAGCTAGAGTTCTGATGAGAATTCAAAAGAGAGATCACATCTCTCCTGTCTTAGCTTCCCTACACTGGCATCCTGCTACTTTCAGAATAGATTTTAAGATCAAATATAAAGCTCTTATAAATCAAGCTCCATCATACTTCAGTAATCTGATCGTTCCTAACAGAGCACTTTTTTCTCAGACAGAGGTTCACTGGTAGTTCCTAGAATATCTAAAAATAGAATGGGAGGCAGATTGTTTAGTTATCAGGCTCCTCTCTTGTGGAACCAGCTCCCAGTGAGGCAGACACCTTGTCTACTTTTAAGGCTTGAAACATTTTTATTTGATAGGGCCTATGGTTAAAATGTGATGTTAGCCCAGATCTGGACAAGTGTGGGAGTAGAGGGAAGTGGAGAATACAGTCAGTAAAGATGGCTCTGCCTTGCCCTGCCTCCAACATACATCCATCTAAAAAGGCTAGGTTATCTCTGTAGTTATGCTGCAATGTGTGTGTGTGTGTGTGTGTGTGTGTGTGTGTGTGTGTGTGTGTGTGTGTGTGTGTGTGTGTGTGTGTGTGTGTGTGTGTGTGTGTGTGTGTGTGTGTGTGTGTGTGTGTGTGTGTGTGTGTGTGTGTGTGTGTGTGTGTGTGTGTGTCTGTGTGTCTGTGTGTGTGTGTGTCATGGTAGATGGCTTATACTGAGCCAGGATCCTCTAGAGGTTTCTTCCTGTTAAAAGGGAGTTTTCCTCTCCACTGTCGCTGCATGCTTGCTTAGTATGAGGATTGCTGTAAAGACTCTGACACTAGTCAGTGACTTGATGCAACCTGCTGGGTTCCTTATTTAGGAAACTTTTTACTGATTGGCCTAATAAACTAAGCTGCATTGGAATGTTTACTTTTGGAAGTGCCTTGAGATGACTCTTGCCGTGATTTGATATAGACTGAATGTTTATTCTATAAAATGTAAAAGGTATTTACTTTAATTTCGTGTATTTTGTATCCATAGGCGCCTTTTTGGTCCCATACACTGTGTTTGCGGTGGTGTTTGGGATACCTCTGTTCCTTTTGGAGACTTCAATGGGTCAGTACACTCAGGGAGGATTCATCACCTGCTGGAGGAAGATCTGCCCACTGGCACAAGGTGAGATTATGCATTTCTGAACAACAACATTAAAAGTTCACATAGAAAAGGTCAGCAAAAGGGATTTCTTCCATCTTCATTTCAGGAATCGGATATGGATTTTTCGTGATGAAACTTTATGACTTCTGCTATGTTCTGGTCCAAGTCTGGGCTATGTTCTACCTGGTGTTCTCCTTCAGTGCCCATCTCCCCTGGACCAGCTGTGACAACACCTGGAACACAGGTAGGACATAAATTTACTCCAAACTAAAACAGTAGAATATTATTTCCTGACAATACTGATAAAAGTTTCTTGTTTTTCTCTCCAACAACATCAAGAAAATTGTCTCGAACTTCAGTTTTTCATTTCACCAAACATAACAGCAGCAGTTTCTCCTGGAGGTGCCGAGAACAAAGAGAAAGCTCAGGGGTGATAGAGCATTCTCAGTAGCAGCCCCAAGGTTGTGGAATGCACTCCCAATCCAGATTAGGATGGTTTCCTCACTGTCGGGTATTAAATCACTTTTAAAGACTCATCTGTTCTCAGTTGCTTTTAATTCAGTTTGATTGTTTTTTGTCATGTTTTTTACTTTTTGATTAACTTTTATCTTATTTTTAGCATTATAGGAAACTTTGTTCATTTTGGCTTGTTAAGCTCTTTGGTCAGCTCTTATGCTGTTGTAAAGTGCTATATAAATAAAGTTGACTTGACTTGACTATGATGTGGAAGAAGAAGGCTGGAGCACTAGGGTCAAAGTAAAAATATTTAATTGGTGCAAATAAACAAGTTCCAACACTTCCTACTCCTTTATCCGCAGGCAGCAGAGGACGTTGCCGCCCTCTGCTGCCTGCTCTCCCCTCTCCGATGATGCAATCCCATGCACGATCCAATGAGTAAACTCCATCGTCCCTGTTCATAGTCCCACATCCACATCTCCTTATCTCTATGGCTTCCTTTATCCATCTTTTGTATTTCTGTTGTTCGGTGTTTATGATCCTTGTGTTGTCCATTACATGGTTCTCTCTTGTGCAGTGATCTGTTACGGCTGACTTCTTTATTGTGCTTTCTGCTTCTTCTTTTGCTGCTCTTGTGTGTCTTCCTTTCTATGTTCTATTGTTCATGTGTTGAGTTGGCGTCCGGTTTCTCCTATGTATGTTTTATTGCGGAGTTTGCATGGGATTTGATAAACGACTCCACATTTAAGTCCAGCTGGTATCTTGTCTTTTGGGTGCACTAGTCTGTTTCTAACTGTTGTGTATGGTTTTGTTGGTGTGTTTATGTTTTTTCATTGTTGCTCTTACTTTTTCTGTTATGCCTTTGATGTATGGTAAGGTTATCACTGGTTTTGGTTTTTGTCTTTCTGTGTTTCTAGTTCTTTGCTTTGGTTGTTCTTTTCTTTCTGTTGTTGTTTGTTGTTTTCCTTTGTTTATTGCCCATGTCGGGTATCCGCAGGTCTTTAAAGCGTGTTGAATGTGTTTGTCCTCTTGTTTACGGTCTCTTTCTTCTGTTATCATGTTTGCTCGGTGATATGATGTTCTGATTACGGACATTTTGTGTATGGTGGGGTGTTCTGATGTCCATAATAGATATTGGTCTGTGTGTGTTGGTTTCCTGTATGTGTTTATGTTTAGGGTCCTGTCGGTCTGCCTGGTTATTTTCATGTCCATAAATGCTATACTGCCTTCTGTTTCTGACTCATATGTGAACTTTATGTTGCCTGTTATGCAGAGTTAATTGAAAGATTAAAAATCCACATCGAGACGTGGAGGATATTACCTCTAACCATGATCAATGCAATAAAAATGGTGAGCCTGCCCAGGTTTTTATATCTATTACAGAATTTACCCAGCTATCTTAGTGCTTCCTTTTTCAGAAAATTAGATTAGATTAGATTGCATTTCGTGTCGGGATTTAAAGCACGCAGAATATCTAAAGCTCATGTACATAAATCAACAATGGAAGGTGGTCTTGGTCTTCCAAATTTTAAGCATTATTACTGGGCTGCTAACTGTAGAGCTCTCACTTACTGGAAACATAGTATTTCTGATGAGGCTGATCACGGCACCCCCTCCTGGTTGCAGTTTGAAAGTCCTAATAACAGTAACACTTCACTCCATGCATGTTGTTTTCGAGCTTTAAATCAGGTGTACCAGCTCAGAACTCATTTGTCTTGGCGAATACGCTGCGCATACTAAAACAAATTAAAGTGTCCAATCGTTTTCCCAAAGAATCCATATATGTTCCTAAATGTAAAAATCCTTCTTTCAAGCCCGGGCAGCTATAGATGGCACTTTTGCTGTTTGGAAGAGAAAGAGTATTAAAACTCTAGCTAACCTACAGTATATATTGATGGCAATTTCACCTCATTTGCACAACTGAGTGCTAAATTCGACCTTCCTAGTTCACACTTTTTCAGATACCTTCAGATCAGAGATTATGTGAGGGAAATGTTTGACCATTTTGAGACCATTCCAAATTCCCATTCATTCTATGATAATTTGTGTATGGCCCCAAGCTCTAAAAATTTGATTTTCAAATTTGTTGACTGCTTCACCCCTTACGTACCCTCGGACCGCCAGCGCAAAGCATGGGCAAAGGAGTTACACTCGGACATATCTGCAGAGCTGTGGGAAGAGGCTTTGTCTCGGATTCACTCCTGCTCTATGAATACTCGCTATCGATTGATACAGTATAAGGTGATTCATAGATTGCACTACTCAAAGATCAAGCTGAACAGAATCTTCCCTGCGGTGTCTCCCCTGTGTGACAGATGCAGCTCTGCTGAGGGATCCTTGGCCCATCTTTTCTGGTTTTCCCCTCAACTGTATGGTTTCTGGACTGCAATTTTCAGGTGTTTTTCTGACTGTTATTCCAGAGACATTCAACCAGACCACAACCTTGCAATACTGGGATGCTTCATGGACAGTCTGACATTGGCACCGGACATGCAGACGGCTCTGCAGCTGGGTTTGGTGGTTGCTAAGAAACTTATACTACTGTCTTGGAAATCCACCACACCTCCAAGCTTTGAACACTGGCTCAGGGAAATGATATTAATTATCCAGCTGGAACGTATTTGCATTTACAAGCTGGACAAGCACCACAGATATGAGAGAGTTTGGGGACCCATTTTGGCGCAATACCAAATCATTGTACAGTCTGGATGATTGCATTACTGTTGACTCGGTACGGGGGGGGGGGGGGGGGGGGGGACTTGGTGGTGGTTACACACATTTAATTTCTGTCTGGCAATACCCTTTTTTTGTTTTGTTTTTGGCTTGTTTTCTTGTCTGGTTCCATTTGTGGTGTATGTCTTGTATTATAACATAAAAATGCAATAAATATAATATTATATATAAAAAACATTTAGTTTCTCTGACTCGCCAGACAGTGGGTTTCACGTGACATCATTGCTAGTGCATTTTCCTGGAGGACAGGAAGTGAAGTGAATGTTTTACTATGATATTTTCTTCTTCCTTCTTCTTCTACTTACTGAGTGCAGCTTCTATTTACAACTACAGCACCAGTGTGCTGTAATCTTTTGAATTACTACTTACCAGAGGCGCCCCCCCAAATTTTTGATAAAGGTGGCCATACGGGGCCAAAAGCAAATTTGGGGTGGCACACCAATTTGGTCCTAGTGATAAATGTGGAGAATTTTCCTTTCTGACTCAGAAACTAAAACAGGGAATTAAATTCAGCTTAAACTATGTTACGTTTACTGTTTGTAATATTTTAATATCTTGTTTTCAATAAAAGAAAGAAACAGGCTAAACCCACACAAATCTCTGACATCAACAACAACTTCTGAGTTGATACACATGCAGGAGTAGTGCACGCTTACACCTGATTTGGCTTCCTCGAGTACCAAATGTTCATTTGTACAAGAAGTTTGTGCGAACGGAGGCTGCAGCTCTGTGGGATGATAAAAGTAGGGATGTCCCGATACAACTTTTTCACTTCCGATACGATACCGATATTGCAGCCTTATATATTGACTGATACCGATATCAATCTGATACAATAGCAGCACACATCATACAGACTTTTACCTATTTCATAGTTTGGAATGTATGAAAGGCTTGATCAAGTGACATTACTCAATTGGAGAACAAGAGCCAGCAACAGTAAGTATGAAAAGAATTTTTTTAAACAATTTGTTGCATAAATGTAAATCTTAAACATAATGTATAACAAATGAATAAAAAATTTATAATAAATTAAAAGACTCTGGCAAATATTTTAAGTAAACTAATCAATATCCAGCCGCTCAGTTGACAGATTAAAACAAAAATCACTGTTTAATTTGCAACACTGATGTTTTATCTCCACAAATAAAATCTCATAGTCATCATTATACACAGTTGAAATTAATGTCTGCATTTGACTCATCCCTGTGGGGAGCAGTAAACTTCAGCAGTGGTGATTTAGCTCCCCAATTCAACCCCTTAAAGCTGAGTGTCAAGCAGGGAGGCATTGGGTCCATTGTTAAAGTCTTTGGCATGACCCATACTGGGATTTGAACTCTGATCTCCCAGTCCCAGGGTGGACGTTCTACCACTAGGCCACTGAGTTCTGCCCCTGCCACATGGTGGAGTTGCTAATGCTAACAGTTAGCTTCTACTAACCGAGACGTTCTTTGCTTTTCCATGGTTGCATTTGTCAAATCGATGCTAAACGAACAACAGCCTTCCTCGTCACGAGTCAAGATGGGTGAGTCCATGAATCTGAAATAATCTGGGGTCAAAATATAAGGTAATTTAAGGTAAACCATAAAATGTTGCATAATAACAGTAATAGTAACATTTTATTGAAACATTCACACTTGTTTCCTCCTCTGCTCAGTAAAAAGAACAAAGAAATAATGAAACTAAATAAAAACCAAACTCGTGAAAAAATGATGAGGACATTAACACTAAAATCTTGTAGCAGGCATCACATAAAATATGTTTTAAAGTCAATCCAACAGACAAATCACAAATATTTCAGTGACGATCTAAAAAGAGCTAAGAGGAAGTGTTTGTCTTAATCAAAAGCCACCTTCAGAATGAAGAAACACATCATAACTGTGCTTAATTTGAGTTTTGATCGTGATTATTTGATGCAAAATATTGCATAAATATAATACAACAGATGAGATCAAAAAGCTTAAATAATTTTTACATTTGTTTAAACACAGACTTACCGATGCCTACAGCCTAATGCACTTGTGATCGAAATCAGTCAACAGTACAAAATGTCTGTAATAAGCAACACACAGCTGTCAGCTAAGAGGCTTACTGTAGCTGGATGCTGATGAGTCCTAACGTACACAGATGGAAGAGGCTCAAATAAACGACCCTGTGTTGTGATCAAACCTGCTGATATTCTTTTTGTTTGTACTTTAAATTAGAACTCACACACACTTTTCCTTTTATTCTGCTGTTTTAGATCAACAGATGAGGACAGCAGACAGTCTGGTCTGCGGGGACTTGCCGCTCTGTAATGTTTAGACTAGCTCACACAGCAGCGCCGCACCCTTTCAGACAAGTGGGCAGAACTGGTATTTGGATTAGCTAAGCACTAACAGAAAAAGGATTTCCTTTGGTGTTTCTGGGAGTGGTCAGAAAATGTGCTCAGCCTCTAGTGGTTTGCTCCATTATGGCATCTGTTGAATGAGGTCAGACATGGTGCTTTTTTTTTAGGTGTAGTAGGACGTCTCACAGCTGCAGCTTCAACAGCATTCAAGCATGAAAACAGCTGATTCACAGACCACAGTTACTGTACATCAGGCGTAACAATAGCACCAAGTGTTTCTAATATTTCCCCTAGAGCAAATGTCTTTCCCACACAGGGTGACATATTAAATCCACGTTTGTTTCTCCAACATTTCAGACAAGTTTTATTTTACTAATAATGAGCAAAGTGTATACATTAAAAATAACTTTTTTTGTTTCATTAAGCTATCTGTATTAGATTTAAAAGTGCTCCAAAACCTGTGGAAATCTCCTGTGCACAGATTTTATAACTCTAATTCTTTTGTTCTGTTTCACAATACCGTCTAGTTTTGTTGAAAGCTTAAATCAAAGTTGTATAAGATTTCTGCTCATAATAAATGTCATGGTGACCTGAAAGTATAAGATTATGCATTTTTATTGGTAGGAGTGTTCTTGTAGGTGAATATGAATATGTGCTAACATCTTTGGCTAGCTCTCAATCTGCATCATTTATTATTTTCATTGATTGATCATTTGAAATCTCTTGATGAAAACACGCAAGTCACATCCAGCGTACACAGCTCTCTCCTTGGTGGGTTACTTGTGATGCAACAGAGTCTGATAGGTTGGAGTAACACAACAAAAGAATAAATGCTGCACTCAAAAAAGAACACATTTGTCTAGTTTATGAATGGTTTGGGACACTTGCTTTGTGTTGGGGGAGCGCCCTGCGGGGTGACGTCAGTGTGATCCACATCCACAGCAACAGGAGGGGTGAGGCAGACCCGTCACCGCCGCCGCTCATCCACCGGTATCATGGCTTCCTAACCGGAGGGGGAAGTGGCTGAGAGCAAAACAAGGATTTTTTTGTTCAGTGCCCCTGCTCTTAATCCATCACCTGTGATTCGGACAGAGGGGCTTGGCCTCCCAAATCGCCGCCAACGGCCGCCCCTGGGATCCAAGACCTACTTTAATTTTTATCGGTGAATTTCCATTCGGTAGCCGTGGAAGATGGCCGACCCGGCGGAGTGCACCATCAAAGTGATGTGCCGTTTCAGGCCCCTCAATAGCTCCGAGGTGACCAGAGGCGACAAATACATTCCCAAGTTTCAGGGGGAGGATACTATCGTTATTGGGGTGAGTTGTTTAAAACTGAATAGCTGTAGCCGCCTATATTTCACTAATATCTTTGTAACAGTACGCCATTTTTGATTGTCTTGTAGCCATAGCCGTTAGCACCTTAGCTTGTTAGCTAACACTAGCTGGGCTGACCGCTGCGCCGTTCCACTGGCCCTCATCTGCTGCCGACTTCTAGTGATAGGAAACGGCGCATCCCGCTTGACTGTTTTCAACTTGTGGACAGTGATGATTTGAATTACTTTCTCGTTTTAGGAAGTAATTCCACTTGCCGCTGCCATAAACTGTCACTATTCGCAGTTGCCCAGTCATGACTAGCGAGCTGTCATTCAACAATGCCACAAACACCCAAACTGCTACGGGTTAAAATATCGACACGGTCAGTTTGCCAATCCTGCTCACAACTCGCAGCACTATAATTATGGCATCAGTAATTAAGTTGGTGCACATCTGTTGCTGTAAAGCTGTCTGTTATTGTTCGGTTTGAGTTAGCTTGGAGCAAGCTCTGATTTGGCTAACAGGCTAGGCCAGCAGGTTCATTATAGATTAGTCGGTGTTGGACTGAAAAATGGACTACTGTTAGGGCGGGATTCCAAGAGTTTATTTAATTAATGAGTAAATTAAGATTTTAACTCTTTACTACCCTCAAGAGCAAAGTGTTGTGGTCAGAGATAACAATGGATGTTTTATTTTCATCCTTGCCATTAGGAAGCATGTTGTTGCACATATGTACCAAAGTAAAACTAATTTTAAGAACATGTTTTAGTAAAGGTACAAAGATCATGTAGATAATTTATATACATTGGATTTTAGCTCAATTCATTAATGAAGATAAGTTCTTTCCTGCGACAGGGTTACATTTCACGGAAGGGGCGCTTTTTGGGCACAACATCTGTCTTGGCTTTCTGGCTAACTGACCAACTGAACGAACCACTCCAAACTGGGCTGAAGCTGGTTGGGCACATGGGATGTTGTGTTAAAATAAATAGGCTTGCATCAAGGAAAACCTGGCAGGCATTAAAGATCATTTTTATCCTTTGCTATAAAAACAATACATTTAAAGTTGTGTGTAACCCATTTACTGGACGAGTTTGTTCATTTTGGAAGAGTTTAAAAGTTTGCTGTCAACAGTGTAATTAGCTCCCTGGTGATACAGACTAGAGCTTGATAAGCATTAAAAGGCTTTGGCACAATTTCCACCTGAAGAACAGATGGAAAGGCCTTGTCGTGTCTAGTTACTGGCATTTTACTGTTAGAACAAAACATTAGCCCCTAGGTCTGTTAGAAATAATGTGAACATGATACTTTGTCATCCTAGACCAAGAACAGTAAAGAAAAAAAATAGTCGCCTCATCTAACATAAACAACATAGGTTGGGTTTTAGAAACTAAAGCCAGTGGCATATTATATAGATCCATAGTTAAATATTAGTTCAACAAAGCCACAAACGAACATTGACAATTCGGACTTTGGCATCTTTTTAATATGCTTACTCGTGCAAATACAGCTTTGGGAAACTTTACAGGGCCATAGAAACATGCCTTCCTGCTGATTATAACAGAGCTGTTAATATATTTCGTGCCAGAGGGGCTGATTTTAGGTTTGGTGACTTTTCAGTAGCTTCCCTAACAGCAGGCATACTTTCTGTGCCGCTAAGGCGTGGTTGCCTGGTTCAGAGTGCCAGTCATGTTGCCAAAATACCAGCGGACATTATGAGAGACACCAAGAGTAGCGAGTCATCAGCAAGTAGGCCCTAATGTTGCCTCTGCTTTGAGAAGCCTGTAGGTAGCAGCAGCCTTACCCTCGGCCTCATGGGTAATCCCCTTGTTTGCTCTCCTGGTTACCAGCTGTTAACCAATCAGAGAAGACGACTCGGGCACTGGACAATCTCTCGGGGTGGGGAGGGTAATTATTATGACTATGTACTTTGTTTTGCTGATGCTCTCAGCTATAGTGACCTACTCTCATTGTACTATTTATGTGTTTTGATAGAATCCAGGGTGGGGATGTTAAACTGGGACTGAAGCCTCGGCATCATCACTCAGCCGTTAAACGTGTCACCAGCCATCCTGAAGCTTCGGTTTATAGAGTTGTTGTGTTGATGCTCAGCTTTACTACAGCTATTATTTATACCTAACTTTATATTTGAGTACTACTCTTTTCCTCAGTTGCAGTTCATTTAAAAATCTTTATTTTTAATGCCAGAAAAGGCAGATCGACGTGATGGAGGAACTGGTGTCTGTGTTGTTCTAACAAGCTTTGTTTGACTTTGCCGGTGAAGTGTGGGTGTGGAGCTGAATAATTCATGCTGCTGCTGCTTCTCCGTCAGTTGTATGCTAAATATCAGGTTATTGGGCCTTGTTTTATTGTCATGTTTGTGTTTCCTTCCATTATTTTTAAGAATAACTCCAAGTGAGCACAGTACAGATCCAAGGGTGAATAAAAAAAACTCTGCTTCCAAAGGAAAGACATTTTCCATTCATCAAAAGTGAAGCTGATACCAGTGGGGATTATCAGTTATTATCAATACTATGATCTTTAATAATTTAGTTTCGGGGCTCAGTGCAGGCTCATATTCCCATTTGTGCCACAGTCGATGGAAGACTGACTATGAATAATGTTCCAGTTGTAAGGTCATCCATATTTTGCTCTAAAATAACACGTTCATTTTAATCTATTAAATATATAAGGCTCTGAAAGATTAAACAAGTCATAAAATGTCCCCGGTATGAAGGACATCAGTCTCTAAAGCGTTAGCATGATGTTCCAGTCTGCCGCCTTTGAAGGTGTTGTGCTGGAAAAAATCACCTCTTCCTCAAATGTACCTACCTTTTCATCCATTTCGGTGTGGTCAGGTCAGTAGTGACGATCTTTCCTCTAAGCTGATAGATTATGGAACATAAATCAGAACCAGTTATATGTCCTGCTTCAGAATTATATGAATATTCTGAATAACCTTGACTGTCTTACTTCCCCTGTAAATGACCTGTTCATCCAGTAAAATAACGTGTGTGTGTGTGTGTGTGTGTGTGTGTGTGTGTGTGTGTGTGTGTGTGTGTGTGTGTGTGTGTGTGTGTGTGTGTGTGTGTGTGTGTGTGTGTGTGTGTGTGTGTGTGTGTGTGTGTGTGTGTGTGTGTGTGTGTGTGTGTGTGTGTGTGTGTGAGACAGAACACGGAGGAACAATACCACTGTAATTGCAGTTTTAGACAGTAGTCCAATTAGAACGGAGTTAAGTAATGGGGCCTGTGGCAGCAAACAGTGAGGACTTCAGACCTGCTATTGTTTTCTCACAGCCTCTGGCAGTCAGGGTACTGGCTCGGTGTTCTCCTTCTGGCCAAGGTTAATTGGTAGGATGTTGCTGTGTGGAGTGAATAACCGATATCTGATGATGCTGCTGATCCACACACACGGTCTTCAGGTGTGACTGTTTGTCAGGAGGGCTTGTGAGCTTTGAAGCTGCGGTTTGAAGAAATCTCACTTGTGGAAAGCCACAATGAAGAATTTAAGGTCAGAATGTGACAAATGTGTTTTTTGTGTATTATCGTCCCTGAGCGGGTGAGCACTAATTAGTGGTGCCTTCATAGTGTCCCCAGCTGCCTCTATGCCTGCACAGATGTTAACCCCACTCCGTACAGAAAGTGTTCTGCTTTCATCAGGGTATGTTTGTTTTGCAACCTTGGATATCTGCACTGGAGGGGGCGGCGTTCCTTGTTCACGTTCCATGTTCATACACACAGCTAGAGCCCCACCCGAGATGAGTCAACTGAGACTGCAAACCTCCAAATGCAGCACGTCACCTCAGATGAACCTCAGATTTGCTTGTAACATTAGGTTTATTGCCCCGCACCTTCCTTCTTAACTGCAGCTATTGATCGCTTTCTGGCTTGGAACTTGGAAGTTTTGACAGATCCGAGGGAAACCACAGTCAGCTGTGTCGGACTCGACTGAAGTGGATTGGCTCTTAAATTGATACTAAAAGCTCAGGATCCAATTGAGTTCATTTAAGGAGCTATAAAGAGATGGAGTTATGTAGAAAAACAGAGAAATGTGTCCTGTTGGGATGCTCGTGTGTCAGCGCTTCACTCAGTCATGACTGACCTGTTACGTGTCACCTCATGTTATCATTAAATTGGAGCAACTGTGTCTTAAAATGTGATTTTGAAATCTGTCAGTGAGGTTTTGTAGAGTTGTGGTCCATTTCTGTTTTTGGTTCAGGCTGTTAATCTTGTTTCTGAATTTACCTTCGAGTTACATAATTAGATCATTGTTGTGGACTTGATGCCTGGCCGGCTCTGTTGTTTTCAGAGTCTTTCTGCGTGGATAAATATGGGAAAAGGAAATATATATAGCATAAAAAACTGTGTTTCAAAGTTAACTTTTTTCCACCAAAAGCAGAATTTCTATAGCGTGCAGTGATTTCCACTTTGATTCTATGAAAAACAAAACACCACAAAAACACTGACTTGCAGCTCTGTGAAAATAAAAAAGAAATATTCATGTTAACACCTAAAAATTGTCTTAGCTTAAAATAATACTACATTTAGTGCAAATCATTCATTGTATTGGTGACAACTTCAGTCAGAGAGGATTTCCTAGTTTTCCTTTATTTTGAATTATCACACAGAATTTCAGATTAATGTTTTGCTGAAGACTACATTTCTGATTATTTTTCAGAAGCATTGTTTCCATCAATCTTTGTTTACAGAATGTTTAAATAATATTAGAGCTTGAAAAGTTTAAAACTGCATTTCCTACAAATGATGTTTGTCTGTAGACATGGAAAATAGTCCAAGAACGGTGGGAAAATTGGAAAAACTCAAATTTAAAAGTGTAAACCGTGCAGGAAGCACCCATCATTCGTGTTGTTTGGCTGAAGGAAGTAGCTCCATCAGATCTGTTCACTGAACTATTTTTAGTGAAGTTAGTGTATTTTACAGTAAAAAGTAGCCCCCTCCTCTCCTGTTTGTTCCAGGGGAAACCGTACATGTTTGACAGAGTGTTTCAGTCGAGTACAACACAAGAACAAGTCTACAACGCCTGTGCCCAGAAGATTGTAAAAGGTGAGGCTTCTGTTTTTAATTCTGGTTTTCGGTTTTGAAGGATTTCTCCACTAACTGCCCTCCATCACACAGATGTTCTTGAAGGATACAATGGAACGATTTTTGCTTACGGACAGACGTCTTCTGGTAAAACACACACCATGGAGGTGAGAGCCACTGAGAGACGACTTCTCTTTGGAGTGTTTGATGTAAAATCCTCTTTGTGAATTGTTCCACTGGTCTCTGTTTGCAGGGAAATCTCCATGACACAGATTCAATGGGCATCATCCCCAGGATAGTGCAAGACATCTTCAACTACATCTATGCCATGGATGAAAACCTGGAGTTTCACATCAAAGTAGGTAGAGGGTTTGTTCAGTTTTACCTCAGTTTTCTACCGGCTGTGTAAGCGGAGTGCAAAGTACAGCTAATAGCTGCTATTATACGCAGCGTATTTACCTATTAGCTGACAAGTTTGGTCTAACGACTTCCTCGGAGCAGAGGACTTTAGCGGATCTCCCAGAACAAACATACAAATTAGCTCCATTATAGACGAAGGGCGCGTTTCCACCGGGTGCACAGCGGCTCGGAAGCGTTGTCCTGGGCGCTCTGCTAAATTTGCGCTTCAGGTTGATTTTTTACACGCTACACTTCCAGAACACGCTCAGATCAGACCAGACAGGAAGTCAGACACAGAAGTGTAAAACATCCTGCAGACTTCAAAATAAAAGCCATGTAGAGATAAATAAATAAATAAAGTACACCATAACCTCCCTGGTGGAGGCAAAAACAAAATGAAACCACAGACCTTTTGGATACATGCTGCCGTCTTTCTCTTTGCTTTTTATCGCGGGGATCAGGTTAAATCACACTTCTCCAGTGATGTCATGGTCACGTGGGACCAGATGTATGAAATGCATTTGCTTCTGACACTCATGATGGAAAGGGACGCCGCCTTGAGGTCGTGGGGAAAACGCACAAGTGACGTTATGAGTCTGGTGTGAAACAGCTGTTGTGGTCACACCAGTGGATGAGAAGCAGATCAAACCTTTTATGGACAATGTTGTAAATTTAACTTCACTCAGCTGTTAAATTGAAGTTGAAAATGTTATTTTGATATAAATATACATTTATTTATTTTTTTACATTTGCTGAAAAGGTGATGAAGATGCCAGTTACACAACATGCACCCCGCTGATTCCTGTCTAACCTTTTAGTTCTGCTTTTGTCTGCAGCTTATGATCAAAATAACAAACACTTTAATGGAGATTAAATTGGACTTTATTGCATCTCATTTTATAAATTACTCATTCTATCTGCAGCGCAAACAGCCACGAAGTCATAGTTGAACTCTGTTGGATGGACAAATAATCAGGCTTTTTTTCTCTGTTGCAGGTTTCTTATTTTGAAATCTACTTAGACAAAATCCGAGATCTTTTGGATGGTAAGTGTCTCAGCTGCATCCTCTCAATTCTATCAAACTATGATAACAGGTCAGCCTGTGGGCTGGAGGAAAAATACTTTTTTTTTTCTTGTTATATTTGAAGGTTTTGTTGCTTTAATCATAGATTTCATCCTTTTAGAACTTCATTAGTACAATGCTAAAACTTTCTAGTTGTAATTCATTTTTTTTACCCACTGAGTGGAAGGTTTTATGCATTAAACAATAGATTTAGTTAACCCTAACCTGTATTATTTTCTCAGTGTCAAAGACCAATTTATCGGTGCATGAAGACAAAAACAGAGTGCCCTATGTCAAGGTGGGACCTGCTCTCCTGTCACTTGTCAGAAAACATGTTAAGGTACTAAATAAAGCTTTTTTTCTGCTCTTCTTTTGTTTTTTAAAGGGCTGCACTGAAAGATTTGTCTGCAGCCCAGAGGAAGTCATGGACACGATCGATGAAGGCAAATCTAACAGACACGTAGCGGTCACAAGTAAGATCCTAACCTGAGCTTCACAGAAACCCCACCGGTAGTTCAGCTGCAGAGCTTGACTGTCTGCTCCCCTTCAGACATGAACGAGCACAGCTCCAGGAGTCACAGCATTTTCCTGATCAACGTGAAACAGGAGAACACTCAGACGGAGCAGAAGCTGAGCGGAAAACTTTACCTGGTGGATCTCGCTGGCAGTGAGAAGGTCAGAATCTCAAATACGATGGCTTTACTTTAGTAAACCGTGCAGATTCTGATCTGGATTTATTTTTATTTCTGTGACCTGCAGGTCAGTAAAACCGGCGCAGAAGGAGCCGTGCTGGATGAAGCCAAGAATATCAACAAGTCCCTGTCGTCTCTGGGGAACGTCATCTCAGCGTTGGCTGAAGGATCGGTCAGTAGCTCAGCTCTATAGAGGCACCTATTAGTGTTTAGTGGCTTTTTTGATGTGGCTTTAGTTATTACTGCATGACCTAATGAGCCTAAATCTGTAGATATTCAGCTCATTCTTCCAGCCTGGGGTGGGATTCTTTCACCTTTTTAGATGTAGAATGTTGAAACGACCAGTGACTACGTTTACATGCAGCCAATATCCGGGTTATGATCGGGTTAAGGTCGGTATTCGGGTTTCTGAGTTAATCAGAATAACCCGTTTACAAGCATAAATAGATAGTTACCCCAACTTGCATAACCTGATTTAAATGCGGGTGTTGGGGTAGCGTCAGGACGTATCGACTACGTCAAGACGCAATATGCGTAATTTCCGGTTCTTGTTCCGGTATCCGTGAAAACAACGTTTCCCAGTTCGGAAGAGATAGCGACCGCGTTTGTTTGCGCTTTAGAGCTGGTATTGACCCACCAGCAGACTGATGAAGACAGAGGTTTCCTCGTCACTCCAAAAGTGTGGTGCTGTGCCGCGACTCACCATGTTGCTCCCAACTTGTTGTTTACTTCCGGTGTTCTGACGCATACAAGACGTCTCGCTACTCAAAAGACCAAGATTCCTTGCGAACAGAGCATGCGCAGAACACACACTTTGACGGGGATATCCCGATATGCGTTTACACGACCAAACATTCGGGTTAGAAAAGGGTTACCCCAGGTGTAGTAACCGGGTTTTTAAAAACCCGGTTATGAGCATATCCGGGTTTTGGCGGTGTTTACATGGCCGTGCGGAACCGGGTTATTGTGAATATTCGGGTTTTAAAAGGGTTACTGGCTGCATGTAAACGCACTCATTGATGCAGCAGGATAAGAATCGTCTATTTACCAGCTGCTTACCCAGCTTGTTTCTGCATGATGTTCTCCTGGTTTCTTAGCGATGACATCATAGAGATCTACGGGTCTTTTGTTTTTCAGAAATAACTTGATAAAAACTTCCCTTGGAGCTACGTCTCTCCAGCTTTTCCTTCTAATTTCACCCTTTTCACTTTGATCAAATGTTGGTTTGTTCTTCGGCTCATTTGCTCTGCAAACAACGTGCGGCGGACAGCTGCTGCTGTATTTATGGTGCGGTAAAACAAATTAGCTATTGTCCAAAGATGCCTCATTCCTATCAGAGCGTAATAGTTGGTGAAGAATAAAAGCATCTGGCTGCGGCTTAGCCGTAGCAGTAATAATCCTGTGGCGGTTATTATTTACCTGAAGGATACTTTTACTGAACTTGTGAGGACTGGAACAGGTTTGGGACAGCAGGAGCGTTTGGTTCATTCTTTTGAACTTTGGTAAAATAAATCTTCCTCATTTTAATAGTAATTCTTCAGTGTTTAATGTTTGCAGGCCTACATCCCCTACCGAGACAGCAAGATGACCCGGATCCTGCAGGACTCGCTGGGTGGTAACTGTCGAACAACCATTGTCATCTGCTGCTCTCCTTCCTCTTATAATGAGGCTGAAACCAAATCCACCCTGATGTTCGGCCAAAGGTTCGTAGAAACGGGGCTTTAGTCACACAAAGGTGACTGAATATAGAGTAAAAACACGTTTTGTTTGTTGTTTTAGTCATAGAAGAAATATTTCACTAACTATTAGGGCTGCACGATATTAGGAAAACCTGCGATATTCGATAACAGTGCTTAATATTGCGATATCAATATTACTCACGATAAATGAACAAATACTAAAGTATGCAGTGTTGATGTCGTCTGCTCTGGGTTCAAAGCAAACAAAAACTAATGCATGAATTCCATTACAACATAGCATTTTTATTGCAAAAATATGCAGCTGCACCTGCTACTGTATTAGCAGCAAAACAACAAACTGCATGCATGCAGTTTCTCAGTGACTTTAAAACATCACCTCCACCATAAAACTTTTTCTGATGCTCCAAATACAGAAAAACATCCCTTACCAGGGTTTTTTGAATAAATAAATAAAATCTGAACATAAGTTTAAATGTTAAATAATAGTTAACATCACTTAAATGCAACAGCACATTCTCTCATTGCTACTGAACATTTTCTCCACTTATGTGGTTATGATATAAGGCTGTTGCTGCAATTGGGAAGTGATCTGTGCTGGGCCAAACTAGGAGAATATTAAGATTTTTTGAGGGAAAGAGAAAAACAATTGTCTACCTTTCAGAAGAGGAACTGGCAAAAAACTACATGGAAAATATGTGAAAACGTTTGTTTTTAACCCCAAATTGAACAAGTTTACCTAGATCTTAAAAAGCAGCTCAGATGATGAAACTGCAACTATGATTCTGATAACAAGCTAACAAATTGAACTAGCCCCTCTTAAGATAACTGGCTAGCAGAGCTTCTGACTGACGATTTGCTGCTGCACATAAACTAACTATCCTGATTAAGAAGGTTATAAAAGCTCATAAATGAAAAATCACTTTGATGTGTGGGGGAACTTTTCCAGGCCCTCTTTAGCAGGGTGGGACTGGGAGGAGAGTGCTGTAGCCTTTTAGCTGGAAGCTAACCGGAGCCTGGGGCTAACGGTGGGTTGGTTCACCGGCACGTGTCGGAGTCAGCCCGGTTATTATCAGCTGCTTAACGACACCAAGCGGACTCACGTTCACGTTTGAAAGCAGCGCTGAATCCAGAAACCTCAGCACAGAGTGCGTTCATTAATCTGAGCCAGCATGACGAACAAGGGAACGGCACCGCTAATGTTCGGGTGTTGCTTTCCATCCTAAGGGTCTACGTAGGGGGCGGGCGTATTACGTGAACGGACCCATCTGATTGGCCGCATATCAGATGGACTACATTTGATTGGTCAAATAATACTTCCTCGTAAAAAACTGAGCTGGTTTACAAAAAGTTGATGTATGACACAGATGGAAATGTTGAACCAAACATTTATCGCTGTTTTTGACGTGCTTTGCGATGGGCCTATCACACGTCCTGTTATCCCGATGACAATCATTTTTCGATATATTGTGCAGCCCTACTAAATATACACTTAAGAAGATTTTGAACATTTCTTAACTTGTGATTTACCAAAATATCTCCTTGGATTTATTCCACTTGGATGATTTCTGTTTCCCACTTCCAGAGCAAAGACCATCAAGAACACAGTGACGGTGAACATCGAGCTGACAGCAGAGCAGTGGAAGCAGAAGTATGAGAGGGAGAAGGAGAAGAACAAGACTCTGAGGAACACCGTCACCTGGCTGGAGAACGAGCTCAACCGCTGGAGGAACGGTGAGGCAGAACCGGCCGTAGACCCGGTTCCGCCTGAGTTGTTTCTACCTACTGACCGTGTGCCTTCTCGCCTCAGGTGAGAGTGTGCCGGTGGAGGAGCAGTTTGACAAGGAGAAGGCCAACGCTGAGGTGTTGGCTCTGGACAACATTCTCAACGACAAGCCGGCGTCCACGCCTAACGTTCCTGGGGTTCGCCTCACGGACGTGGAGAAGGACAAGTGTGAGGCGGAGCTGGGGAAGCTTTACAAACAGCTGGATGATAAGGTGAGTGAGAGCGGGTTAGGATAAATGTGTGTGAGCTACGCTTTACTGCTCTGCTCTGCTGGGGAAACAAAGGAAGTGGAACGAGTTCTGGCTTGTGACGAATGTTAAAATCATCAAATGCATCCATTGTTGGTGTTTTGCTTTGCTGCTTCTTTTACTTCACTACCGTTTTGATTGTTGAGCTCTTAAATTATCTTTAAAGGTGTGTTTTAGTCATTTATTCAGTACATTTGTAGCGTTTTCTAGTGGAAGTCGATGCCTCGTGTGTCATAAAAAAAGCTATGATGCCCCTGTTCTGAGATGCAGAATTATTATCAATGATTTGCACACACCTCGCTTCTGATTGGCTAACAGAACTCATTCAGCCATGTAGCAAGTCACCATCACAAATACACTCTCTGCTCTCTTTTTGCTGCAAAAAATTAAAAAAAGCCATCCTGTGTGCAACTGCAAGCCACGATGGGCAAAGCCATGAATGCAAATTCAGTGTGACATCACAGTGTGAGGATTTTCAAATCCTAACATTTCACTGTCTTTTCTATCAGAAGCTAATGCAGGAGATAGGTGTAGGAGACCGTTTTCATCTTCAGCCTGCATGAAACACTCTGAGTGACTGATTATATTCAGAAATAATCATTAAAAATGTTTTTCAGTCAACCACATCTTTAAAAGTCAGCATTTATCTGAAGTTCAGCATCGACTATAAAGTCTGAGGAGCCTCAAACACCGGAGTCTAATTGATGCCTGTGTGCAACAGTACACAAATCCTTTAACCTCCTCAAGCTCCTGAGTAAATGGATTGTTTCCTTCCTATTATTTCTTTAATGAACGTGGAGCAACGTAATTTCCTCTTCTAACAAACCTTATTTTTAGCAGCTTCTCAAACCAATATTCCTGCTTTAATAAATGCTTTTGTTGTGTCTGGTCTTACGAACTCTAGGACGATGAAATCAACCAGCAGAGCCAGCTGGTGGAGAAGCTGAAGCAGCAGATGCTGGATCAGGAGGAGGTGAGTACTGGGGGTGCAGACGGTGAACACGGTGAAGTTTCACAGATGTTGGCCAACGTTAAGAAGCTGTCGGAGCTTTAAACTGAGCTCACTGACCAGCTGGGTTATAGCTGCAGGTTGCTTAATAACTGAGATCAGGAGGACAAAGTTGGGTCGTTCATATTTGAATTTAAACAAACATCTAATGATCTTCTTCATTCCTGCCCGCTCATTTAGCTCCTAGCGTCCTCCCGACGAGATCACGAGAACCTCCAGGCTGAGCTGAATCGCCTTCAGGCTGAAAACGAGGCATCGAAGGAAGAAGTGAAGGAGGTGCTGCAGGCCCTGGAGGAGCTGGCCGTTAACTACGACCAGAAAAGCCAGGAGGTGGAGGATAAGACCAAGGAGTTTGAGAGCATCAGCGAGGAGCTTAGCCAAAAATCGGTGCGTTGGGGCGGATTTCTGGTTTTTGATTAGTAAGATTTGTGTTCGATGATCATTTTAATGGTGATCCAGCACATCTTCTCTCTGCTGATAAAACCGTAACATGAAGCTTTTTATCTCCGCATGTGGATTCATCTTTTTTTGTTTTGTGCTTTTTCCAACTCGACATCAAAAAAGTTGATTTCATGTAGCTAAAAAGTACAGCATAAAACAGACTTTTATTTTGAAATTTCGCCAGATTTATCAGGTCAAACACCAGATGGGTGTGAGGATTATGTTTTGTTGCTGTTGGGGAGGAGCCAATAACAAACTTGTGTCTCTTTTTCGTTGCAGTCCATCTTGTCTTCCCTGGACTCAGAGCTCCAGAAGCTGAAGGAAATGTCCAACCACCAGAAGAAGAGGGTGACTGAGATGATGTCATCACTGCTGAAAGACTTGGCCGAGATCGGTATCGCTGTGGGCAGCAACGATATTAAGGTACCAGGAGGGTTTCTACAGGTTCTCGCCTGCCCTGGTTTCCCCGTCCTGCCCAGCGTTGACATCACTCTCGTGTGTGTTGCTTTTGTAGCAGCACGAGGGCGGCAGTGGCCTGATAGACGAGGAGTTCACGGTGGCTCGTCTCTACATCAGCAAGTTGAAGTCAGAGGTGAAAACGATGGTGAAACGCTGCAAGCAGCTGGAGAGCATCCAGTCAGACAGCAACAAGAAGATGGACGAAAACGAGAAAGAGCTGGCCGCCTGCCAGCTGCGCATCTCTCAGGTTAATAAAACCAGCTGAGTCATGCACCGTTTAGATTTCTCCTGTCAGTGTTCAAATGCTGAGATGTCAGTGTTCAAATGCTGAGAAGTGATTCTTCCATTTTTCCACAGCACGAGGCTAAAATCAAGTCCCTGACCGAGTATCTTCAGAATGTGGAGCAGAAGAAGAGGCAGCTGGAGGAGAATGTGGACTCTCTGAATGAGGAGCTAGTAAAACTTAGCGCTCAGGGTACGCCACTACAGCCTGGGGCTCACAGAAGACCAATGCGCCACGCCGTCTCACGCCCACGTCATTTTAAATAGAAGCCGTTATAGTTACTGAGAGTGGCAAAACTGGGAGCGCAACGCCACGTCCTAGAAATGCAGGTCCGCGCTGAGGTGCTGAAGATAAGCGCCAGTGCTATGTCAAGCAGCGTGGCTGTTTACAGCGTTGTGGAGTACTTTACAACAGACATTACGACGCTGAACGGCTTTACGGCACAAACCCAACTGCAGTATTGATAACTTTAAAGAGCAAGTCACCCCCAAATCAACAAATTTTTTGCTGATAAACTATATAAATGAGTGTCTAGTCATGCTATAGACACGTGTAGTCAATAATTTGATACTTTTAACGCATCTTAGCTCAAATTTAAATATTCTGCCTAAAACTGTCAATGCTACGCCGCTGTCTGGTAAAAACTGCACTACATTTGAATTTAAATCTGCCACCGCTATTGGCTAAGAGGTACACAATGATGTTAGTTGGTACATTATGATGTCACAATGCTTTGTGAGCCTGTGTATGTATTTGTTAGCGGCTCCGCCCTCTCGGTCTGCCAGGCAACAGCATTTGTTGCGTTTTTCAAACATGAAGTGGGAGTGGAGTAATACTCTGGTAGGGGGTGACTTGCACTTTAAAGTACTATTGATCTTAAAATTTTCTAATGAATAGTGTACTTACCCAAGTCTGATCACACATAATCAAGAGCCACTATCTGCTTCCTGTTCTCAAGTCCGTGTGGTGACTATCGCACAACTTTCCTAGAAGCGCAGCGCTTCCTGTGTGACCATTTGATTTCCCAAAACTGTGGCGCAGCACATCTGTCTTCTGGGTGCCCCAGGCTTAAGAGCCTCTGGTTTCACTGGAGTTCCAAAAAACAAGCTTTTCCATACGGAAAAGTTTTGTTTTTGTGTCCATCATCTAACAGGTGACTCCATGTTTGTGTTGACAGAAAAAGTTCATGCTATGGAGAAAGAGAATGAGATCCAGACGGCCAACGAAGTCAAGGTTTGTCTTCATTAAACAAACACAAACAACCCTTATGCATCCAGTCTAGTAACACAGAAGGAAGTAATAACACTGGATGTTGTCCCTAACCCTTCAGGAAGCAGTGGAGAAGCAGATCCACTCCCATCGGGAAGCCCACCAGAAACAGATCAGCAGCCTGAGAGACGAGCTGGACAACAAGGAGAAACTCATCACCGATCTGCAGGAGTAAGATCATCTGCTGCTACTGTTGGCGCTGAAGCTCTGCTCTGAAACTGTTTCGATCCTGATCATTTATCCCTGTGTTTTGGTTCCCCCAGTTTGAACCAGAAGATCATGCTGGAGCACGAGAGACTCAAGGTGGAGCACGAGAAACTCAAGTCCACTGACCAGGAGAAGAGCCGCAAACTGCACGAGCTAACGTAGGTTTCAGACGCACGCGTGGTCGCACCTCTGGTTCCCTCATGAGAGGAGCTAAACGTGTTTGTTTTTCAGGGTGATGCAGGACAGAAGGGAGCAGGCCCGACAGGACCTGAAGGGTCTGGAGGAGACGGTGGTGAGTTCGCCCAAACGGATTTAGCTCTAAAGTCACTTAGAGGTGGAAGTGTCCTAACACCTGGTGGATGTGTGACTTATCTGTGATAAATAGATCAGTAAACTAAATGAACACATGCTGAGTTATTTCCGGTGAACAGAGCCCGTTTCTATGGCAACAAAACATTTCCTTCTATGACTTTGCCACTTTAAACGTGATCTAAGCTGTTATTTAAAAAACACTGGTTTGTTTTGCATTTCAGGCCAAAGAGCTGCAGACTCTGCACAATCTGAGGAAACTCTTTGTTCAGGACCTGGCCACCAGAGTTAAAAAGGTGAGCTATTTGATTACATAGAAGCATAATCTGCTGACTCGTCACTAATATTAAAGAATAAGCTGTAATAATGTGTGTTATTAAGTCCTGCTTGTGTTTTCTTTGGTGCAGAGTGCAGAGATGGACTCGGACGACACTGGAGGCAGCGCCGCGCAGAAACAGAAGATCTCCTTTCTTGAGAACAATCTTGAACAGCTCACCAAGGTTCACAAACAGGTGGGAGTCAAATCGGTTGTCATGGTTACGGTTTCCTCCTGGCGCCTCTTTTCCATGCTGTTTTATTTATGCTGTTTACTCCTGCCTTCACGTGACTCTCGTTCCTCATGAGTACCGGTAAGTCTTTTTCAACACGACGCTCCCATTTCCACAGCTGGTTCGTGATAATGCAGACCTTCGCTGTGAACTTCCGAAACTGGAAAAGCGTCTTCGTGCTACGGCTGAGCGGGTCAAGGCCTTGGAATCTGCACTGAAGGAAGCCAAGGAGAACGCCGCCCGCGACCGCAAGCGCTACCAGCAGGAGGTGGATCGCATCAAGGAGGCCGTCAGAGCCAAGAACATGGCCAGGAGGGGCCACTCGGCTCAGATCGGTGAGTGGGACACGTCCAGGACCATTTCTGTCCCTTAGAGGACATAATACTCGTTTTATCAGTTGGATGGATGGATGGATCAGGATCCAGTCATTAAAGAGCAAGTAACGCCTAAATTAACTTTTTTTGCTGATAACGTGTATAGATGAGTGTCTGTACACACATGCGTGCTGTACACACATGTAATCATTATTGTGGCAGTTTACTGCAACTTACTCTAAATTTAATATTTCAGCCCAAAACCATAATTCTATCTCCATCTTCAGGTTAAAACTCTGCTCCACCTTTATGTAGCACCAGCTGTGGCTGATGGCTAAGCTAAAAAACGTGATGTTGTCAGCAAAGTACTACGTGGCTGCACCGCACTGGTCTCCAGGTGAGGCAGCCACACCTCCACCTAGCTCAGCAACTCACCTGCCGATATGACACGCTGGCTCTCGGAGCCACTCACCTCCTTGAAAAAATATGCCCTCCTCCCCTTTTCATCTAATGATCGTGGTGAACAGGAAATCCTCCGGAATGCTGCAGATTCTGTGTCTGCTTTTGTCCTGAGCGGTAAGTCTTGTGTGAGTGTGTGCGTATGCACGCGCTCGTTAACGACTCGTTTTTAGATAGAGAAACTCCGACAGCACACGCGGGGGGGTTGAGAGTGGTTTGTTCTACCACTGCCTCAGTGCCGCTCTCTCGGTCCGCCAGGCGACACCTCTTTCGGAAGCGTTTTCCTAACAGGAAGTGTGGATTAAATACGTCTCCACCCAGGCATTGACCCTCACTTTAAGAACGGGTCATTCACATTTATTGAATGAGATTCTCCAGGGTTTTACGTTTCCCAGTTGGAAAAAAAAAGTAGTTTTGCACAAAACGTTTATTTGTTTGTTGCCATCCATATGTGAAGAGCGCTTAGAGCAATATGGCTGAAAATGTCTCCTACCCCACCTCTCAGCCCGTTCCTCACTGAGCTGCAGCAGAAAATGAACAATGTTCCATTTTGTCTCCAACAGCCAAACCCATCCGGCCTGGACAGCAGCCTGTGGCGTCGCCCACCCACCCAAACATCAATCGCAGTGGGGGGGGCTTCTACCAGAACAGCCAGACGGTGTCTATCAGGGGAGGGGGCAGCAAGCCTGACAAGAAGTGAGCAGAACAGAAACGTGGGACTGAATCGGACCCAGAAAAGGTTTTTTTTGACAGAATCCTCATTCCTTTGTTGTTTCTGTGATTCCCAGCTGAGCAGCAGCCGAGCAGAAGAATGACACCACAGAAGAAGAAGCCAACCACGCACCCACCCACCTAAACGACCCGTCATTCCATTACAGCAACAGGCTCCTGCTTGCAGCTCTGGAGACATGAAGGAGTTTCTGATTATAAATATAAATGTATAATAAATGACCCCGGCCTGTACAGCTCCGGCCCCCAGCCCCTTCCCCTCCCCAGCTTCTCCACACCAGTTATCGTTCTCTTACGGGATGAAAACAGAAAAGAGCTCATTTTAATTTACAAAATGCAGAATAAGCCTCGTGGAACCAAACGCAGTCCTGAGCGCAACCTCTGCCAGCGAAGCTGCGCCATTCGAATGTGCGGCTTCGGTTTCGTGTCTGTTTTGCACAGTCCGTCGTCATCCGTCGTCTTTGTGCGAATAGTTCTGCGCTGTGCCAAGATGAATGTAACGGTAGCAAGAACCCGAAAAAAATGTACAAGAACACAACAAAAAGACCAAAAAACAGAGAAGAGACAGGACATCGCTCTAACTTCTGTACATTTCATTATTATAACTCTTATTATCGGTTCTTAACCACACTTTTCTCTGGGTAGATTTTACATGCTTCTTAAAAAAAAAACTAGAAAAGAAACCCAAACTATAAAGTTGTGACTTCTGTAGAAGGCGTTGAGCACGACTGTTGTGTCCAGACTCGTTGTACAGATGTGAACGTGGCGCCGCTGCAGAAAAGCAGCAGGGCGTGGCTGAAAAGAAGGATTGCAGAAGCCCGGACTGCGTGCTGTAGATGTATTTAATGAGATACCTGTGGAGGTTGGTTGTTTTTATCTTTAAGTTAAACTTGTTCTGAGTGGCTTGGTGGGAAGGAATGTTGAAGGGAAAGAGGAGAACGATCCGGTTAACACAACCAAACTTCCACCTTTTAGCTGAGGAGGCTAAGTTGCTACTTGTACTGTTTTAAGTGGTGAACAATGCTGTGTTAATAGATGCTATTTATATCTCACTGCACATTGGAGCACACAGACTGAGACGGTCCTCTCCCAGCTGGGTCCCCCATCTCTCGTCTCACATATCCAGGACCTTTGAGTTTCAAACCCCCGCCGCCCCATTTGTGTCAGGAATTCTGTTGAATTCTGTTCCAGGGTGCCTCGTTTCTTCTTTATTCTCCCTCCTGCATCGTTGTTTTTGTTTTCTTAGCTCTAGGACCGGCATTACGCTGGGTTTCGTGTGCTCTCTGATTGTACTATCGATGGTGTCGTTTTTTTGTCTGACGAGTGGGGTTGGATCAGACCCTCGCTGCTGACCAGCCAGTCAGGGATAGCAGGGTCTAAAATTGCACGCTAATCTTCTGCCGTGGCGTGGAAGAAGGGTTTATTTAACTAAATCTAGTCGGGGGCTATAGGATTTGTTTTGTTTTACCATTTTTCTTCTTATTTCCCAACACATCTTTTGTTTTTCACCCTGTGAAGCCCCAGTTTGGTGACGAGAAAGCTTATTGTGACTGTAACCCCAGCATGAAAACTCTAACATCCTGTAAAAGTGCAATAATCTGTAAGATACACTGTTGGCGGGCACTCATCCTGCCACGCCTCCTCTCTGTTATCTCACTGAAGGCTTCTTTCATCACTCTTTCTGAAAAGTTGAAACACAAAACACCTTTTCTTCCTTCTTCAATACAAACAGTAAAAAAAAAGCTTCTGTAGAAGACTGAGTTTTAGGATAAAGCTCTTTTGGAAAGACGGATTAAAGGAGCCTCTATTGACAGGATGCAGTATTCGGCTCCAAAAGAGGGATAGGATTCCTGTAAAAGGTGTCACGTTAAATCCTGTCATCTGAGAGCAAGAAAGTCCAGTTTCAGAGCACTTCTTCACAAAGTCTGCACTCCGGGAAGGAAGAAACACTCCATGTGTGGCTGTTTTTAACGAGGTGCAAAGAAGTTTCCAAAGCCCTTTGAGTGGAGAACAAACAACCTGAGTAGTTTCAGGAGCTGCAGCTGCAGCACGATGTTCAAAATGTTCTCCTTTGACCTTCCGCCAAAAACTGGATCTGAAACGGATAATTTAGCAAACGAGTTCAGCAGAGAATACTTGTGGTGTTTATCTAAATTAAATTTTGCTTTCTAAATTGAAAAAAGTGTAGCCTTTTTTATTACTGTGTAATAGTCTGTCAGTTTTTAAAGGACGGTTTTTGGGAATTGTCAGTGGAGAAGGTACTGGATCATTCCTGGAGAACTGGGGCACAAGTAGCAGGGCTCTGATATGAACTGAGACGGGACAGTCGTGAGATCACGGTTTTGATATGACTGCATGATGTAAATGTATGTGTGATTAAATAATTATGAGAAACAGGCTTTTTGTCTGCTTCGTCATTTCAGGGTTTTAAACCCGTGGTTCTTCCGGTGGGTCAGCCCATTTCAAGCATCTGCAAAAGTGCTTCTTGAGTCATTCAAGCTTGACGACCATACATATAACAGAAATAATTTTTATATTTTTTTATTTTGAACATGTTTGAAACATTCACGAATGCATTTCCAGTTTTTGATGGAATTCCTTTTGCAGAATGTATTTCTAACACTGGACTAATAAACACCACATGGGGTCTAATTTATGCTGCAAGGGAAAACAGTCCAGTGCTCCCAGTGGTTTCTCATTCACTTTAATGTTCCTGTTTTAGTTGATGCCTGTAATACATACATTTGGAGTTTTGAATTAGACAAATGTTAGATTTCAAATTGAATAAAAACCATTTGTGACGAATAGCCTTTATAATTGGTATTAGATGAGATTAGATTATTTAATCAACAAAATAATTTCTTGTCACTGATTCAAGTTTATTTGTAAAGCGCCAAATCACGACAAGAGTCGTCTCAAGGCACTTCACATAGTAAGCATTCCAATACAGGTCAGTTCATTAAGCCAATCAGAAAAAAAGTTTCCTATATAAGGAACCCAGCAAATTACATCAAGTCACTGACTAGTGTCAGAGTCTTAACATCAATCCTCATACTAAGCAAGCATTTAGAAGAAGAAAAGATCTTTTCTATAGCGCCTCTCAAGATAAAAATCACGAGGCGCTTCACAAAAACAAAAAAATGTAAAAATATAAAGAATTTAGAAAATTATTTAAAATATATTTAAAATGGGCAAAAAATAGACACTTGTGATTAAAAATGTAAAGAGAGAGAGTGAATAGGAAAGAGGGAAATCAGTGGATCCTGAGGAAGGTGGAATAGGTGGGGAGAGCAGAACAAGGAGAGGGTGATGAAGGTCATACAAAAGCCTGAACAAGTGAGTCTTCAGCTGCTTTTTAAAGGAGACCACTGAGTCCACTGATCTCAGGCTCAGGGGGAGAGAGTTCCAGAGTCTGGGGGCCACAGCAGCAAATGATCTGTCACCTTTGGTCTTTAGCCTGGTGCTGCACAACCAGTAGGCTTTGGTCACTGGACCTCAGGGACCTGCTGGGGGTGTAGGGATTAACTCCTGAAGACCCTGCTCTTCAGAGAGCATCTTCTAAACTAGCACCTTGCCTGCACCCGTCCCCCCTCTCTACTGTCCACTCCTTGTTACCTACTCTCCATGACTGATGTCAGTGTTGTTGTTATTGTTGTTAGCCTCAAGGGCAATATGCCGATTATCACTTGTAAGTCGCTTTGGACAAAAGCATCTGCTAAATACATAAACATAAGAAGATCACCGATGTAAGATGGTGCTTGTCCATGTAAGGCCCTATAGACCAGAACCAGGATCTTGAAATGAGCCCTGAAGTTGACTGGCAGCCAGTGAAGCTGGAGGAGAAGCGGGGTGATGTGGGTGTGTTTGGAGGACTTGGTCAGAAGCCGAGCACAGGCATTCTGAACCACCTGTAGACGGTTCAGGGAGGTTCTGCTCAGACACGTGAAAAGAGAGTTACAGTAGTCTAAGCGTGAGGAGATGAAGGTGTGGAGAACTGTCTCATGTTCAGAGCGAGACAGAATGGGACTCAGCTTAGCAATGTTCCTGAGAAGGAAGAAAGAAGAGCAAACAAGAGAACTGACATGAGAATCCAGGGTGAGAGCTGGGTCAAAGGTCACGCCAAGATTCCTGACAGAAGGTTTGGTGTGGGAAGCAAGCTGACCAAGAGAGTCTCTGACTTTGGTAACCAGCTTGTCTGGGGCACAGATGAGGATCTCAGTCTTATCTTCTTTCAGCTGTAGAAAGCTCCCAGCCATCCAGGTTTTGATAGAGTCTAAGCAGGTGTGTAACAGCTGCAGCTTAGACATCTCATGGGGCTTGAAGGAGATGTACAGTTGGATGTCATCTGCATAAAGATGGTAGGAGATTCCTTTGAAGGAGCTCAGGGTGTGCTGAAGAGGGAGCAGATAGAGGAGGAAGAGCAGAGGCCCCATCACAGAACCTTGTGGGACACCATGGGTAAGAGAGGTGGTGGAGGACCTAAACTTGGAGACGGCCACAGAAAAGGAACGCTCAGACAGATAAGAGGAGAACCACTCCAGAGCAGATCCTGATAGGTCTACCCAGTATCTGAGCCTCTCCAGTAGCAGGAGATGGTCAACAGTGTCAAAGGCTGCAGTCAGGTCCAGCAGGACCAGAACAGAACAGTCCCCTGCATCACTGTGAGTCAGAAGGTCATTAGAGACCCTAAGAAGAGCTGTTTCAGTAGAATGAGCTCTACGAAAACCTGACTGGAAGCTATCATAGATGTTATGTTCATCAAGAGCAGCTGAGAGTTGTTTAGTCACAACCTTTTCCAAGATCTTGGAGATGAATGGAAGTTTAGAGATGGGTCTGAAGCTGCTATGGAGAGAGGGGTCAAGACTCGTTTTTTAAGAAGCGGGCGGATTACAGCGTTCTTAAAGTAAGCAGGGACCTGACCAGAAACCATAGAAACATTAATTATAGAGAGCAAAGCGACAGTGGAGAGGAAAACTTCCTTTTAACATGAAGAAACCTCCAGAGGATCCTGACTCAGTATAAGCAGCCATCTGCTACAACACACACACACACACACACACACACACACACACACACACACACACACACACACACACACACACACACACACACACACACACACACACACACACACACACACACACACACACACACACACACACACACACACACAACATATATACAGAGTAGTCTTTCTATGGTTACATTGTGATGTCTTAGTAAATCTTCTATTTGGTGAGAGATAAACTTTATTGTATTTATCCTAGTTAATCTATAATTAAACGGGTAAACTAGTAGTAGCACATTCAATGTCAAAGAAAGTAAAATGTTATTGTCAGGAGGGAGAATGTTTAAATGGTTTGCAGCAGTGTTCAAGCCTATGGTCCCCACCATGAGGCTACCACAGCTCAGCAGAACATCATTGTAGCTTCTTCTGGAGAGAAAAACACTTAGAGAAAAAATAACGGTAACAGCTGAAATAACAGGAAATAATACAGTTAAAGACAGAAAGAAATTGTAGAAGAAAGTAGTCGAATGTGGAAAGTGGTCAGTATGTCCTCCAGCAGTCTAAGCCTATAGCAGCATAACTACAGAGATAACTCTGAATAACTTTTCAGATGGAGGCATGTTGGAGGCAGGGCAAGAGAGAGCCGTCTTTACCGACTGTACACTCCACCTCCCTCTACTCCCCCACTTGTCCAGATCTGGGCTAACATCAGATTTTAACCATAGGCCCTATCAAATAAGAATGTTTTAAGCCCAGTCTTAAAAGTAGACTAGGTGTCTGCCTCACGGACTAAAGCTGGGAGCTGGTTCCACAAGAGAGGACCCTGATTGCTAAAAGATTCAACCAATGGGTGTGAAAGTAAATGAGGTTTAAGCGATATAACCAATAAGATTAGTGGTTTCATAAACTTAAGATGTTTGATTTTAAACATGTTTTCTGTGGCCAAATCTACTTATTTTGGTTTGACAAAATTCAGAAATGTTTTTATTGGATAAGTGATTAATTTTGGCATTGATATTTTTATACGTTTTTTAAAGCAGATGCAGAAAACGCATTGTTTTTTTAAGAGTTATCAAAATGGGACATTATTTTTGATGTTGTGCATTACTGCCGCTAGACGGCGCTAACTCTCCTCTTGCCACCCGGACACCTGAGGGCTCGAGCCGCAGTTCACTCCTTTAAGAAGAGTTCTCACTCCGAAGAATATCCTGCTAAAACTATTTACATTAGCTCATGGGACCAGAATCACTGTCATGAAAATTACTTTAGATATTGTGTTTGTCCGCATATCTGTAGTAAGTAGCACCACATTTGTCGTACTCCCAGAAAAATAAAGTAAGTCGTTAGTTTCTGTAGAAAAATCTCCGTAGTGATACGTCACGTGACTAGATTATCTTTGTGTAAAGGTGGTTGTCGAAGTTGCAGGCGAGTTCACGAGAAGAAGAGCTGTGGCGGATTATAGGTTACGAACCAGGGACGGACACGGGGAGACGGAACCGTGAGTGTTGGACAAACTTAAGAAGAGTAAAGCTAGTTCGACTCGGTGGGGAAGTTTACTGGAATTTAAGTTCAGCGGGTTCCCGGATTCCCGAAGAGAAGAGACGTTCAGGTGCGTATCCTTATTTGGGACGACCAGGAATTTAGCCCTCAAGCTATTTAGCTAGCTAGTGTTAGCGACAAATTACAACAAAGATGAAAAACTAGTTGATAATGTTCTCAAATATGAACTTAACTAAAAAGTAAATCCACGAGAAACGTGCTGAAAGTACACAAACTATTCCCTAACATTACAGACGATAAAACATCAGAAAACAGCAGAAACGGTGTTTGTTTTGGTTAAACTTCGTTTATCACAACACAAAATCAAGAGTTACACCATAAGCATGAGTTCTAATCATTCTTAAATCAAGTTTCCTATTAAAATAAGGCGTACAGTTACTAAAATAACTCGTCACGGTCAGGAAATCCTGCTGATTTCATTCTTTTAGTCCAAATGTAGTCACACAAGAGCCAGTCCTTAAAAACAGCATTGTGTTTACGCTCAATAGAGATAAAAATAAAAACAGTTAACATGCTTTTTAAAAATGTATTTTAGGGCATGACTCAGCTCACAGCGACACATTCCTGCTGTCGAATCTGTAGTCCCGTTTTATTTATGTAAATGTAAAACAATAGTGAAGATTTAAAGTAACCAGTCATTTCAAATACTTAAGCAGCCAATTCTTTTTGTGTTTGTTATTCATTTAATTAATATGATCCATCAGGAAACTTTAATTTATAAAACATGGGTTGGTGGTGGACTTTTTCCATCTTTGTGGTTAATTTCTTTCCCAGATCTGTTGGTTGATGTGCCTCTTGAGTGGGAGGAGAAATGGACTACCTGCTCTCCCAGCATGCCTGTCTGAATCTGTGCACACTGGAAGTTGAGATTTAAAAGTGGGCTACACTGATTGTAGTTCTCTGGAGTGGGACAGATTGTGGTTATAACAGGGCTAATGGACCTCAGAGAGTTGAGATGTGCCTAACTGGGGCAGCCTGTGCTGAATCCAAGCTGTGTGAAGGTCAACACGCCACTTCCTCTGTTCCTTTTTGGTGTCAGCCTCAGTTCTCTGCTGCAAAAGAAGAAACCACGACTTGCAGGTGGTGCTGACTTGGTAATCTATCTGGTGCGGCAATTGTAAGAACATGCATTTTATTTCTGATCAAAGTTATCACCAACGTGTCAGTGCAGCTGCAACAGCTTAGAAGCTGGGACTAACTGCAGCAACTATGAAACTAGAGTTATGTTCAAGAGCGTAATGCACACTTGGTATGTTAATGAAATCATGTGCTCAGTGTCACTTGTGCTGGCTTTTCTACAAGAAACAGGTTATGGAAAACACTGTAGTGAAGCTGCAAGAAACCCAAGTTCCTTAAAAAATAGGATTTAAATGTGTTTTTCCAGCAAAGTGATTATTTACATCTAAAACCTGTCAGACAGTCTACGTGTGAGGCAGAGGTTAGGTTGTGATTGCTGTATCCAAATGTTTAACTATATTTTCAACACGGATATTGAACCCAAGTCACCTTGAACTTCAGATAATGTGAGGAAAAGGTTTCCAGTGTGGTTGTCACAACAGATCATGCATTAACTCACCTGGAACGTTTTAAAATATGACGATGAATGAGAGACTTTTCTACATGGGGGCGTGAATCACTCTAACCGTTAGCTACTTGTTTCTCTCCTGCTGTACATTTCTTGAGCTTGTTGAGTTTGTCTCCTTGTTGGTAGCCTTGTGTTGGTTTTCTGCCAAACGAGAGATTATTTTTTGCAAATGTACTTCTGGTGTATTTTGCACAAATATCAGAGGACTGAGCAAGCAAACATGACTAAGGACATTGTCCTCCCCATCTCTCCTCTGATTAATAAGATTAATTATTAATCGTTACAAATAACCTCTTTAGACACACGGGTTATAAAGAACTTTTAAAACGTCGATGCATTAGTTTGTTTCCATCTAGTGAGTAAAGACGACACCAGTGACAGCTTTCACTGGTCCAGTAGGAGAAAGAGAAGAGGGAATTGTCTCTTTCCTGGTCACAAATATTGGCCCAGTTTTGTTGTCTGGAAACAGAATGGGTTGTAAACACTCATCTAAATAAAGTTCTGCTGCATTTTCTGGTGTTGCGAGTTTAGAAACGGTGATTTTAAAGCAGAGTAAATAAACGCTGCTTTTCTTTTCCTTTCATTCTGCTTCACCTGAATCTGTTCCAGTTTTATAATCGCTGGTTGTTTGGTAACATCTGTGACATCATTTCCTTCTGAGTTACAGCCAATCAGCATACACCACTCCAGGTACTCAGTTGGTCCCTGAAGTGGCTCACCAAATGGTGTTTTTGGGCTGGCCCGGTGAAATGGAAATGTGTGTATGCCACGATGGTCCGGTAACGGTACCTGGACGTTTCAATAGTGGAAACAGGCCTCATCTTGCAGATTTAGTCGAAAAAGGACCTAAAATCATCCTAAACAAGTGGATTAAAAACAGTTTGTACATTAAAGGTGGCATTTTCATCATGACAAGGGAACAGTATACAGTGGGGCAAAAAAGTATTTAGTCAGCCACCGATTGTGCAAGTTCTCCCACTTAAAATGATGACAGAGGTCAGTAATTTTCATCATAGGTACACTTCAACTGTGAGAGACAGAATGTGAAACATAATCCATGAATTCACATGGCAGGATTTTTAAAGAATTTATTTGTAAATCAGGGTGGAAAATAAGTATTTGGTCAATAACAAAAAATCAACTCAATACTTTGTAACATAACCTTTGTTGGCAATAACAAAGGTCAAACGATTACTATAGGTCTTTACCAGGTTTGCACACACAGTAGCTGGTATTTTGGCCCATTCCTCCATGCAGATCTTCTCGAGAGCAGTGATGTTTTGGGGCTGTCGCCGAGCAACACACTTTCAACTCCCTCCACAGATTTTCTGTGGGGTTGAGGTCTGGAGACTGGCTAGGCCACTCCAGGACTTTCAAATGCTTCTTACAGAGCCACTCCTTTGTTGCGCGGGCGGTGTGTTTGGGATCATTGTCGTGTTGGAAGACCCAGCCACAGTTCATCTTCAACGCTCTCACTGATGGAAGGAGGTTTTGGCTCAGAATCTCACGATACATGGCCCCATTCATTCTTTCCTTAACACAGATCAGTCATCCTGTCCCCTTAGCAGAAAAACAGCCCCAAAGCATGATGTTCCCACCCCCATGCTTCACAGTAGGTATGGTGTTCTTGGGATGCAACTCAGTATTCTTCTTCCTCCAAACACGACGAGTTGAGTTTATACCAAAAAGTTCTACTTTGGTTTCATCTGACCACATGACATTCTCCCAATCCTCTGCTGTATCATCCATGTGCTCTCTGGCAAACTTCAGACGGGCCTGGACATGCACTGGCTTCAGCAGCGGAACACGTCTGGCACTGTGGGATTTGATTCCCTGCCGTTGTAGTGTGTTACTGATGGTGACCTTTGTTACTGTGGTCCCAGTTCTCTGCAGGTCATTCACCAGGTCCCCCGTGTGGTTCTGGGATTCTTGCTCACCGTTCTCATGATCATTTTGACCCCACGGGATGAGATCTTGCGTGGAGCCCCAGATCGAGGGAGATTATCAGTGGTCTTGTATGTCTTCCATTTTCTGATAATTGCTCCCACAGTTGATTTTTTCACACCAAGCTGCTTGCCTATTGTAGATTCACTCCCCCCAGTCTGGTGCAGGTCTACAATTCTTTTCCTGGTGTCCTTCGAAAGCTCTTTGGTCTTGGCCATAGTGGAGTTTGGAGTCTGACTGTTTGAGGCTGTGGACAGGTGTCTTTTATACAGATAATGAGCTCAAACAGGTGCCATTAATACAGGTAACGAGTGGAGGACAGAAACGCTTCTTAATGAAGACGTTACAGGTCTGTGAGAGCCAGAGATTTTCCTTGTTTGAAGTGACCAAATACTTATTTTCCACCCTGATTTACAAATAAATTCTTTAAAAATCCTGCCATGTGAATTCATGGATTTTTTTTTCACATTCTGTCTCTCACAGTTGAAGTGTACCTATGATGTAAGAATAAGAATAAGAATAAGAACAACTTTATTTATCCTGAGGGAAATTCTTGTGTCATGTACATGCTCAAAGCAGTCGGAGAGACAAAGGAACAGGTGAAATAGAAAAATGATATACAATATATTCATTAAAAAAATAGATCTACAGTAGTACCATGTAGGATAGTGCAAAACAAACAATTGCATATCTCAATAATTAAATACATGACTGCATCCTTGTGAATTACTGTAAATTACTGGCCTCTGTCATAATTTTAAGTGGGAGAACTTGCACAATCGGTGGCTGACTAAATACTTGTTTGCCCCACTGTATGTCCTTTAGAGATTGTACAAATCTTCAACCTGCTTCCCCTTTTTTAAAATGTCACCATAGTGGGGAGGAAAGTGATTTCCTTTCTGTGGTAAATCAGAGCAGCTGGAGCTCTGCTAACAGGAATCCTCTTCAGCATGCTGTTTTTGTGTTTTGCTAAGGCAGGAAAAAATATGAGGGTGTGTTTGTCCTGCATGTGCTGACTGTGGAGGATTTTCCTACACTTGCTTGAATCAGTTTTAACATTTTCCCACGGCGAGTCTCCTCAACTCGAGGATATCCCTGATAACTCGTCTCCTCTGACTCACTCGTGCTCCTCTGGAAATCTAATCAGGGTTACTTTAAATTAACATGCCTCCTTTGGTTTTGCTGATTGGACTCAGAAGATTTGTTCTGTTTACTAAATGGCTGCTCTGATGCCTGAGCTCAGACTAGAAGGGGATAAGTGGCAAAACAACCTTGAGATACTAAACCGTTGAAAGGCCCTGGATTGTTCCGAAATGAATCAGTTTCTTTCTTTTTACAACATTTTTTATAACGATTTGAGAAAATATCGATACACAGAAATATGGTGATATTTTTGTTAGGGATGGACAGTATATCGGCATCAATATAGGTATCGGCTGATGTTAGCCATGTTTTCACATATTGGTACCAGTTCGATAAATAAAACCGAGCCGATATTAACAACCAATGTTTTTTTCCAT